GGTTGGGGAAGGCGTCACACGCGAGGGGCATCGGGAGCACGCTAACGCCGACCAGCCTAGTCGCGCCGCACAGACACCCACACAGTGTGTGGAATTCGTCTTCCTTCGCCCTCGACTTCGATCCTGAGATCACGGAACACTCGCAACACCGCCAAAGATGCAGATCTTCGTGAAGACCCTGACGGGCAAGACCATCACGCTCGAAGGTATATCTCATACGCACAGAATGTATTAGAGCATGCACTAACTTGTTCGCAGTCGAGAGCAGTGACACCATCGGTACGCAAATCCCAGCGCCACACGACGGCAAAGCAACGCACCGCACCGCATCGCTCGGCGCTTGCATGGCGACACCGAAGAAGGAGGATTTAGGCTGACAGTATGGGTAGACAACGTCAAGTCCAAGATCCAGGACAAGGAGGGCATTCCCCCGGACCAACAGCGCCTGATCTTCGCCGGAAAGCAACTCGAGGATGGCCGCACTCTGTCCGACTACAACATCCAGAAGGAGTCAACCCTCCACTTGGTCCTCCGTCTCCGTGGTGGTATCATTGAGCCTTCGCTGAAGGCGCTTGCCTCCAAGTACAACTGCGACAAGATGATCTGCCGCAAGTGCTACGCACGTCTGCCACCGAGGGCTGTCAACTGCGTACGTCATAACCACGACTTCATTTCTTGATCGAACAAGGAGAACGGACATGGTATCGGACCTTAACTAACAAGACCACAGCGCAAGAAGAAGTGCGGTCACACCAACCAGCTCCGCCCCAAGAAGAAGTTGAAGTAAACTACTCGCTTCTATCGGCGTCTGGCGAAGAGAGCAACGGGGTCGGTGGATACGAATTGCAACGATTGCATGCGATGGATATGAGGGCTAGGTCACTACTACTTCTTCCACGGCACATGGCATCAATGGAGTGCTTGTCTTGTCTCGCATTTGAGACTTTATGAAGGGAACCAGGCATGTAGAGTGAATCGATTCAAATTCAAAAACCACCAGCTTCGATTCTTCCTCCCCTGCTACAGCGTGATTTTGTAATGTTGTTCGACCTGATGGAGGCAGGTCACGTGAGATCGCGTCACGATCGCACCACGTATGACGTCACAAACTATGCTGCACACAGTGCGGTGAGCGGTCCCCTAGGGACACTGCAAGGAAATTGCCATCGGAGCCATTGTTGCTATTGATCAGTTTTGATTATTCCAGGCCACACGAAGCCTTGACGGAGTTATGAATATCACGTTCGCATAGGGATCGTCACATCAACACGCGACAACTTTTGTACTTTTGGTGGATTTTATCGCAAAGCATTCTGAATATACAAGTACACACAAACTCCCTCCTGCTCGCATAGTGAACACTCGTATATGCGAGATAAAAACGCCCACCGCTGACCGTGGTTCTCTTCGGTAGTTTGGATACACTTCATACTCCGCCGCCTAGGCGAAAGCGCTTTGATATCGTAATCGTGATAACCGCAATAGCTTATTACCGAAGTCCCACCCGTCAATACAGCAGTGTCCGTATCCGCAATCCCCCATAACCAGAAGCGCCACCGAGAACGTAGAACGGAGATGCCGACCTTATAGGATGTCGTATCTAGCAGGAAGAGAACAGACATTTGCTTGATTCAACAAGCCACTTACTCCAGAAAAAAGAATAGTAGACGCAAACTTGAGAAAGTTAAATTTAAAACTCCGAGATACAACGAGGAGCGTGAAAATGGTATCGTAACGCCTCGCTATGCATACAAAAACAAGAATCCAAGAAAGATGTACGTATGATATGGGCGGTCGATACAGACTTTGGCGTTCGAGACGTGCTGATCGTGTGCAGCGCCGCGGTGAAATAAGGAGCAGACGTGACAGGTAGTGGGAAGTAATCTGTTGACTGGTGCGTGGTGCAAGTCTTTGATGGAGATGCTCAAACGCGGGGTTTCTTCCAATAATATTGCTAAGAATAGTCAGTGGGGGATTGCGTGGGTAAGCAGGCGTACTACGTACTTTGTGCGTCTTCCTGACAGACCGCAGTCCGGTGCTGCGAGTGCCAGCTGTAATGGTCTCGCGCCTCATTTGGTTGGAGTCCATCTCAGGGACATAGTAGAATTCATTCTCGAGGGGCTGCCCAGCGGCATCTTTGCCAGCACGAGGAATTTCACCAACACAGGGAGTGTCATCCAGAATCCTCTTCAACTCTTTTCTAGAGAGCTCAGGGAGGGGAGTCGATGTGCCAGTGCCCTCTTCATCCTTGCCATTTGTGCCCTTGTTCACACAGGCCTTCAATTCAGCTGGAAGGTTGCTGTGAATAGCGGACAATGGTTGAGAGTGAATACGTGAGAATGCCAATTGGTTGATGACATGGTTCTTGATCGGTGACTCTTTGTATCGGATAGGCTCAGTAACGCGACGTTTGGGGGACGGCGACAGTAGTGGCCCGCGCATACGTGGAGTGTTTGATTGCGTTGGCGTAGCTGTGTTGAACGAGGCCATGCCACTGAGGAGGTTCTGACCGAAGGGTCCAAAGGAGTGTACAACAGGATCGTTTTCTTCATCATTGTCGGAGAAGTCGTCGGCGGCGAAGTTCACACTCTCTTTGAGATCGACAACAGGACGTACTTCATGGCTAGACTTGGAGCTTGGAAGAGAGGGGCGGATAAAGGTCTGGTCTGCGGAGCCTGGGGTGGCAATGCTAGGGCTATCCGCGTTGGCATCGGCATCTTCGAAGACTTCAACGGGGCCAGACTGCAGGTTGGTGCCAAGGCCGGCGAAGACGGGAGGGCGAATCGGGCTCTGCGAGACAGGTGACCGTGGAACAACAGGAGGGCTGGAACAGATGTTCTCTTGGGTACGGTTGCGAGTCGGAGTAGGCATGCCTTCTTCCTCGGATTCCCAAGAAAACTTTGATACAGGGATAGATGGCCAAGCAATCATGACGCGGGTATCCTGTACATCGAGCATGATGGCCGTCTCGGGGTTCTCTGACATGTACGTGTCTCCCTTGCTCAGCTCGAAGATGCGTCCTTTGCAGTGGATCTTCGCACCGTTCCATCCCAGACATTCAACCTCAATGTATCCATGCGGATATGGTGGGCTTGGCGCGTGATAAGCGGCTTGGACGTGAACGCGTGAAATGAGGCGGTTGGTAGAGAGCTGGTAATCTGACGTGTTGGAGCTCCTGCCCATTCTCACGATTTCGCCGTCTGCAGGAAGGTCGAGCGTGGGCACAGCACCGAGTGGGGTCCTCTCTGACAGAGCCGAGAAGGTGCGTTCGAAGCCCGGCCGGGCATGGCGGGGCGACGAGGAAATAATGTTGGTCGACGACGTGGGCTGCGGGGTTGGATAATACTTCAGCTGCTTGGGAAAGGTGGGCGAGTCCTCTTCGAACTTGCGTTTCGAGGACGCCGGACGTGGAAATGGCGATGAAGAGAATGGCCCATCCTCGCCGAAGGCCGGAAGAAGAGTTGGGGTGGGCTTCCGAACATGCCCCGAGTGCGGCTCTGTCGACTCGATGAGGGTTTGGGACAGCGTCTTGGTGGGTGAAAAGTCCATCTTGTGTGCGGAGCTCCTAGAACGCGAGGCTCCTGGCGTGTCGATGTCTATGGGGTAAGGTGGACGTGTCTCGAAGGGAGACAAGCGAGCCGGCGGCTGCGGAAGGAGTGTTGAAGACGCGAAGGCAGGCACACGGCAGTATGGAAAAAGAAAGACGTAGGTTAGGAGGAGGAGGCCATCAAGTCAATTACGAAACTACGGGTCAGTCACGAACGCGATCGTGGAAGACGTCGCGACGCGGGTGTGGGTTGGCTAGCGTGATGAAGCTAGGGCCGTCGTAAGAACCAGCACCCAAATTCACCACGCCTTGCTCCCTTGCAATATGTCTCTTGTAACATCCTTTCAAATGCAAAGCACTCTGCATGTCTCAGCTAATCCGATTGCGTATCTTTCTGTACTTCTCCAGCTCTCCTTTCGCTATACATGTCCCAAAGTTCGGCATATTCTGCCACATGCGTTCACCAGCCTCTGTGCACGAGCACAATTATTACGCCTATGACATACATTGTCTCCTCGGCTGCCTCTCTAACTTGATTTTCTCCGCTCTGCCAGCCCCTCTACACTGCAGCCGATTCCACATTAACGCACCATCATTGCTAAAGCTGACGCGCTGAGACAAAGTCAATCACGCTTGATGATGCACTTGTGCCATGTGCGACTCTTATGCTAAAGTCACTGTCCGTAACAAAGTGCAATATAAAGGGCAAAAGGCATCTATACGCATACTGTGAACGCGTGTCAAGATCTTAAGGTACTGCGCGCTCATGCACAAAGATCAAATTGCCCCACTGTCCTACGCCTGTGCCCAAATGGAGGCAAACGTCACGCAAGTGAAAAGAAAAACTTTGTGCAGCAATCGACGCAGCTAACACGAGAGCAAACACGTCCGTAACCCAAGTGGAGCTGTAGGGCCGACGGACGCGAACACGCAGCGGTATAGACGCGTCGTGAGAAGATGGCCAGGCGAGCGCACGGTGACGGCGTTTCGGCTCGACCGTGACCGGATGGCTTCGATCAATCGATAGCACGAACCAGTAAATCTCGTACATGTAGCCATGTGGGAGTCCATCAGCTGCTGTCATATTCGTGATCCCTCAGGACTTGGAATGATAATCGAGAGGTGAATGCATCTCGCAGTAGTTTCTTAACCATTGCCGCCAGTAATGACAGCACATGTACCACGCCGGGTACGTACCACTGACGCGCTGCTGATGAAACGGCTTACTGCATGGGAACGAGAGGTGAAATTGATATTGGACGGCTGGTGACAATGCAAGGATGAGCAACCTGTCGTGTGCTTGGAGATACTGCGACGCGATGATTGGTTAAAGATGCCCATTCGCCTTCCGCTTTCAATGAGACAGCCCCGCATTAGTCTCGGTCTTTCGGAGAAACCATATGACCGGCAAAAAGTTGGAAAGTTCAGTCCAGGGTCTAGCCCAGAATTTCCAGCGACAAGAAACATCGCAAACATATCACAGCAACAATGGCCAAATCCAAGACCCTGACTAAGAAGGCCGAGAAGGCGACCGAGGCGCCTCTCACCACCAAAACCACGAATGGTACACCCTACCAGCTTGATCCGTCGCAAGTCGAGCGCGCGGCGAAGGCGCTCGTTGCGCACATGAAGAAGCATGTCGAGGAAAAGCAGCAGGAGGCACCAAAGAAGAGCTTGGCGGCCGACGAGGACGAGGCGGAGGAGGTTGACGAGCCCATCTTCCTCAGCCTGGCGACAAAAAAGCAGATCGGCAACACTAAGAGCTTGAAGCCTGTAGCCATGTAGGTTCGCACATGACAGCGCTTGCGACACACCGCTAACAGTACCCAGCAAACTACCTCACCCCATCATCGCAAACGATGTCCGGATATGCATCTTCACCAAAGACCCCCAGAGAGCATACAAAGACCTTGTCGCATCTGACGCTTTCCCGGAAGCCCTTCGCGGAAAGGTGCAACGTGTGCTCGGCGTGGACAAGCTAAAGAAGCGATACAAGGCATTCGAGCAGAAGCGTGCACTCCTCGCTGAGTACGACGTTTTCATGGTCGACGATCGCGTAATCAAGATTGTCGCAGAATGCCTAGGCAAAACCTTTTACAAGAGCAAGTCAAAGCGCCCGATTCCGGTTCGTCTTACTGCGGGTGCATACATCGACAAGAGCGCAAAGAAGGACGCGAAGGAGCCACAAAACGTCGTTGGAACACCACAAGGTGTAGCAAAGGAGATCGAGTCGGCTCTTCACTCGACCTACCTGAGCATGAGCCCATCCGCCAACACCTCTATCAAGATCGGCAACCTTTCCATGACTTCTCAGCAGATCGTTGAGAACACTGCCGCTGTTGTTTCCGAAGTTGTCAACAAGCACGTTGGCCAGGGCTGGCGCAACATTCGCAGTTTGCATGTCAAGGGTCCTGCGACCAAGGCTCTACCTATCTGGCTCGCTGACGAGCTGTGGGCTGAGCCTGAGCAAGTTCGCGACGCACCATACCATGGTGCCATCACAGAAGGCACGCCCAAGGGCAAGTCCGCAGAGCGCAAGAGGAAGTGGGATGAGTGGGAGGAAGAGATGCTCGACGACGAGGAGCTTGCCGCGAAGCAGGCCAGGAGAGAAGCTAAGAAGGCCAAGAAAACAGAGAAGAAGAGCTCAATTAGCAAGGAGAAGCGCAAGGCCATGAAGCAAGATGCGCTCCAGTCGGTGCAGACACCATTGATCGCTGGTTGAGCTATCCATGGTGAGCATCGTTGCATGGCATTGGCGTTCCGGTGTTCAAAAGATCTATTTGACGATATGGTAATATACCACTGGTCGGCATCCACCAATGCAGGCTCTTTGCAATATCAAGTTTTCTATTCTGCAAATGCATTATGATAGTAGTGATACATCTTTGCTTTATGTTTTGCCTGTATATGAAGGCGATGGAGAGCTATGACCTTGCTCGGCTGTACCTGCCTCGGCTTGATGCTAACGTCATGCAATGCAGCGTAGATCACACTCGCGTCTCATGCACTCAACTTGCGCCTCCCAACCCTACAACCCTCACTTTCATCAGACAACCGCTGAAATGCTTGGATTACTTCCGCTCTCGACACTCTTACTTGTGACGCAGACAATCGCGTCGCCACTCACACGGAGCGACTCCAAGCCACTTCCTCTGCTCATCTGGCATGGCTTAGGCGACAACTATGCTGCAGACGGTCTGCACAGCGTCGGCGACCTCGCAAACGAGACAAACCCTGGCACATATGTATACTACATCCGGCTCGACGAAGACGCCGGAAGTGATCGAACAGCGACGTTCCTCGGCAATGTCACCGAGCAGATTGCGCAAGTCTGTGACGACATCGCGAAACACGAGGTTTTAAGCAGGGCGCCAGGTCTGAACGCGCTAGGTTTCTCGCAGGGTGGGCAGTTCCTTCGCGGACTGGTAGAGCGCTGCGGCGACCGTATAAACGTCAAGAATTTGGTCACCTTTGGCAGCCAACACAACGGTATTGCAAAATACCAGCTCTGCAAAGATGGAGACTGGCTATGCAAGGGCTATATCAACTTGCTCAAAGCTAACACCTGGGGCGCATGGGTACAAGGCCATCTCGTTCCAGCGCAGTACTTCAAAGTCACCAACGAGACCACCGGCGAACCTACGGAAGAGTATCTCGAAGCCTCCAACTTCCTCGCTGACATCAACAACGAAAGGGTGCTCAAGAACGTCACTTACGCGAAAAACCTCGCTGCATTGGACAACTTCGTCATGTACGTCTTCGAGGACGACACCACTGTTATACCGAAGGAGTCGGGTTGGTTCGCGTACACGAACACCACCAGCAATGAGGTCACGGATCTGAGGGACCGCGACATCTACAAAGAGGATTGGATTGGGCTCAAGAAGCTTGACGCGAAGGGCGGTCTACACTTCAAGACTACAGAGGGTGGTCACATGGATTTGGGGGATAAGGTGCTGATAGATGTCTTTGAGACCTATTTCGCGCCGGAGAAGACGGTTTGGAGTGGCATTATCGACGAGATCCAAGAGATTATTGAGTTATAAAGCAGGGTTTTATAGAGTCAGCCTCAGGGATAACCAATGTAGCCAGTGGTGAGGTTGTATTTATATGTAAGAATATAGGCGTGAACGCGATCAATAAGTATTATGTCACATGTTTTCCTTGGATTGCATCACGAAACTCGCGCCATATTACTTGCGGTATAGGTAGTCCAGCAAGAACTATACGTATTTCTGATTGGCAGGCTTATCGAGAGTTAACTTTAAGTGATTCCTGTGGTAGTATATGCTGAGACACCATCTTCTACTAGGCCTCGTATCTTCTCATAGTGTAAACTGATCAAGCAGATCACACTCGTTACGAAAGACTTTGCATTTCTCGGATTATTTGCTGATAATAAAACAGACATAAAAAAGCATCAGCAGTCTACATACTGTTTACATCCAACGTAGTGTAGAGTAGCGAATATCTTCAAAACATGTTTTGTTGACGGTTTTGAACTTAAAAAATAAGGAATTACCCACGACGCAAGCACTGTCGTAAGTTCCTTTAGGAACTACAATAATCGGTCACGGACGTTTGCTAGAAGCCATAAAGAGCGACACCGAGAACCAACAAACTTACTGCTAGTCCTCCAATCATTACACGTTCTTGCATGCGCATCCCCTCCCCCAACCGGGGTTTTGCGGCAGACGTCATGCTTGTGTGGGTCATCATGAGCATCAGCCCACAACAACACTCCACGCCGACGCCGCTCGAAACGAGTCTAGTCTTGGCCTCTCCATACTTTAAATACTCCATTTCTCCCCAGAACCCTCAATTGACAAATCTCGCCCATCGCGGCTCTTCTCCACTCCATCACTACTTTACGACGCTCTCGCTGAGCTTGACGCTCCTCGGACAGCTCCAAAGCTCTATCGATAAGCTAATCATTTGGATCGCGATCATCCCGTTGAAAAAGAAAAAGCCCTGGATTAAACATGTCGGTCTCAGCAGCATTGAAGAGTCGGGTCAGGAGGCCAAGTTATCTCAAGAAGATTGCTAAGGCTGAGGATTTGCTTCATCACTTCCCCAATGGAGCATACATTGGCTGGAGTGGCTTCACTGGTGTGGGATACCCAAAGTAAGTATTATCTCTGCTGTCGCGCTACGACAGCCAAGCCATGAGGCTCTTCGGGTACTCAACACGATCTTGACTATGGCATACGATATCGGGCCTGCTGGGTAATCCGATCTGGGATCCCGAGGTGGAACGGAAGTTTAGCAAGCGACGAAAGCCGAACTATCCCCGACTCCACAATTCGAGCTGCGCATGGATCAGGTCGAGACGAGTAGTCAAGAGCCTTGGCCATGACACTTGTCGCGCATCTTGACTTGGATGAACAATGTTGATTACGTTGATGAAGTTGTCAGACTAACGTCATGACAGAAAGATCCCCACGGCCATGGCCGACCATGTCGAGAAGAACAATCTTCAGGGCCAGCTCAAGTACAATCTCTTTGTTGGTGCATCATCAGGTGCAGAGACTGAGAACCGATGGGCACGTCTCAATATGATCGAGCGCCGGTCGCCGCATCAAGTCGGCAAGGAAATTGCCAAGGGTATCAATAACGGCAACATCAACTTCTTCGACAAACATCTTAGCATGTTCCCTGTCGACTTGATGTATGGGTTCTACACATTGAACAAGCCTCACAACAAGCTAGACGTCACCATTGTGGAAGCATCCGCCATCACTGAGGACGGTGGCATCATCCCTGGAGCCAGTGTTGGCGCATCACCCGAACTGATTCAGATGGCCGATAAGATCATCATCGAGGTCAACACCGCAGCTCCTTCTTTCGAAGGTTTACATGACATTACTATGACTGATCTTCCACCACGCCGAAAGCCTTATCTCATCATGTCTCCGGAGGATCGCATCGGCACACCACACATCCCTGTTGACCCAGAGAAGGTCGTGGCGATTGTAGAGAGCGACTACCCCGATCAGACCCAGCCCAACGCCGCTGAGGATGAAACCTCAAGGGCTATTGCCGCGAACCTGATTGAGTTCTTGAAACACGAAGTTAAGCACGGCCGCCTACCAGAGAACCTTCTACCCATTCAGTCTGGTATTGGAAACATAGCCAACGCTGTTGTTGGTGGACTTGCTTCTGGTGGTGCAAACTTTAAGAACCTTAAAGTATGGACCGAAGTTCTCCAAGACTCCTTCCTTGACCTCTTCGACTCTGGCAACCTGGACTTCGCAACTGCGACTTCAATTCGCTTCTCTCCTGACGGCTTCCACCGATTCTACGAGAACTGGGACCGATATGCACCCAAGCTACTGCTCCGCTCCCAGCAAGTCTCCAACTCCCCTGAAATTATCCGACGTCTCGGTGTCATTGGAATGAACACGCCCGTTGAAGTCGACATCTATGCCCATGCCAACTCAACATGTGTCATGGGTAGCCGCATGCTCAATGGTCTCGGTGGGTCCGCCGACTTCCTTCGTTCTTCCAAGTACTCCATCATGCACACACCCTCGTCGCGTCCTACTAAGACCGATCCAACTGGTGTATCCTGCATTGTTCCCATGTGCACTCATATCGATCAGACCGAGCATGACCTCGACGTCATCGTCACCGAGCAAGGTCTCGCCGATGTCCGTGGTCTCTCTCCCAAGGAGCGTGCCCGCGTCATCATCAAGAAGTGCGCCCACCCCGACTACGTACCAATTCTCGAAGACTACTTCAACAAGGCAGAGTTTGAATGCCTAAGGAAGGGCTGGGGTCATGAGCCGCATCTGCTGTGGAACAGCTTCGACATGCACAAGCACTTGAACGAGCACGGCACCATGAAGCTGCCCAAGTGGGACTACTCTAGTGCGGAGAAGGCCATGTAAAGATTGAATGCAGAGTATTTTGAATGTAGTAAATGTAATCGAACCTGGTATTCATCTACCTCGGTGTAGTATATTGTATTCAGTTGTATGAAGAGAAAAAACTGCCGATCAACGCATGTATATGTGACCAATAACATCAAAAGCGGCATGTGTGCTTTTTCCAGGCATTCGTCACGTCGTCGACAGAATACATGGTGTTTTCTACACTCTCAACCTCAACATGGCGAAATTCCATCCGTCCAAGGTATCAACCACCTCTGAACTGTTCGGGACGAGATATTACACGAACAAAGTACCCGCGCGGCATCCATATCGAACTGTACAGGCCCGGTCGTGGCAATAGGCAGAGATGGTTTGCGTTTGAGCCAATGCGGCTGTGTACCACGGGTCTTACCATGGATGAGAGCATGACGTGGGATACTCGTGTTTGATGCACGCAGTCACGGCTAACATTGCATTGCAGCAAGCTATGCGTGTGTCGTGCCAGAAAACTCTGCTCAGACCAGCCGTTCGCCTGCATATTGAATGGACGCGCTCTTACCGCCAATGTCGGAATCGTTCGTTCGTTGAGAGTTAGATTGCCACCCGCTAATGCTACGCGTCGGCTGGCACCATGTGACTGCGCGGCTCACAAGCGGCTTCAGGCTCTTGCATTCGAGCATACGCCTGGCTTTGCCTTCTTACACCTCACCGGGACGCGCCTCGAAGCTTCACGACACCCCTGACATCTCCTAGCATCTTTTCCGCGCCCCTTGCGAGCTGCTTTTTGGGTGCCGAACAAGGAACTGTTCCCGCCCGTTCGCGCGTCTTCCCGTATCTCGCGTGCTGCGCACGAACACGGTGCTCCTACGACACGTCTCCGACCATCGCTCTCCCACTGAGGACCGCCATTGGAACGCTTGCTACCCTGACATCTTTACTCGCATCGATATTTCTGAGTCGTATATTGGCATTCGACTCGAGATTGCAACGACAGCGCGAGCCACTAGTTGCCTACTACCCCGCCGCCACGCTCGCGAACGATGATGCGTAAGTCAGTCGCGTTTCTCTTAAGCCGAGTTATTACCTAGGTACTCATGCACCCATTGCACCAGCAGAACACGCCAACACCGCCCATACAGCAACCATTGCTGCCGTAGACGACCCAGTGTCCCACAACTCGCAAGAGTCGGTCCAGTCTGCCGTCTCTAGCACCTTCTCGGCCCCGGCACTACCCTCCTCCTCGAGCAACCTGTCTACCTCCACCACTGCCGAGACGGACCTCACCACCCTCTCGTCGACCAATGTAGCAAATCAAAGTAAACCTCTAGAGGCACCAATGCCTAAACCGTCGAGCCAGACTGCTGCTGGAGACGTGCCAGCTGCACCGCGCATCGATACAGCCGCCGCCAATGCGCTGCAGAATGGTGGCACAGCAGCCACTTCCATGACACCAGAATCTCCAGCAACTCAAGGCTCCAAGAGAACCGTAGATGGTTCTCTCAAGAGCGCAGGGCCAGTGCCCGAAGCGCCATCGGTACGCACATACGCACACAAGAGGAACAAGAGCATGGATACACACTCAGGTACTCGCATTGGAGAGGTGCGTGTTGTAGCTTCAGACTAAGCCCTCAGGTTGCTGATGCAAACGCAGTTATCCGCACAGCTTAAGACGCGTCTTTCCTACGCCATGGTCAAAGTCCAGAACGGCTGGGAGAAGCAGTCACTTGACGAGCTCGAAGAAAGCCAGTCACAACGCGGTTCGCCCAATTCTGCTCCTGGGAGGAGTGATCAACTAGCGTTTGACTCGCCTGGTACTACCGACCGCCAACGAAGACCAAGCGGCGTCTCTGATATATCGGACCAAATGATCATGTCCCCTGCTTCTGACCCAACTCGATCACTCGCAGGAACCCCAGCTTGTTAGTCTTCCCTTAGAATCTGATTCCAGAGTGCTAACGTCTGTCAGCCTACTGGCGGCCGGGTACGCGTCCCGCAATGAATGCTGCGGCAAACCTCATCTCTATCACCGGAGCACATCCTGGCTATGGCCTTGCACCAGCCCCGACCTTCCAGAGTAGGCGGAGAAGTCGCTCGAGCGTCTCACATGTACCCCCTCCACTACTCGGAGCTAGCCAAAGGAAACACTACAGTGATGTCGGTGCAGGCCCGCGGTCGCCAGCAACCCCTCGAGCAGGTATCCTTCGTATGCCAAGTCAACAAGCAGAAAAAGACGCTGTTGATACACTGCTTTTCATGAGCAGCCCCAACAATTCACAACGCTTCCCGGCGAGCAGCCAGCCTCAACCAAGTCCACTCAGAGCTGAAGCGCCTCAACGACGCGTCATGTTCGAGGCCTACCCCCCACAAGACCGGCGCGCCATGTATCAGCCATCAATGCCTGCTCCACCTCATCACCACCAACACGGACCGTACCCCGCATATCCAGCGAGATAATGACGGAAGTAAATGTTCCATCAGATATTACTTCCTCTTCTCTCTTCAACACTATTCTTATGGCTCGACGATCGCATTGCATGGATGGCGTTGAGATACCCACTGCACGGATGCAAGTATTCCTACTGTCAGGTCTCTCTTCCCCTCCACCAAGTTTTATAGTGCGCATATGTCGCGCTTCAGGATATCCTGGGAGGTGTATTGATATTGCTTGGCCATTTGTATGAGCTTGCCCTCTTGCGTTTGTTTACTTTGGCGATGAGGCCTTGTTGACATTTGTATGCTTGAGCGTTTTAGCTACCACGAATAGGTATTATGACCATGTAACGAATAGACGAATGAGCGCTTTGATTCTGTCTGATGTTGGTTGGTGGTGAAGAATATACAATGAGTTGTGATAGATGTAGGTGTACATTATCAGCAGCTCTTGTAGCTGCCAGTGAGTTGTCTTCGAGGCAACTCATCGACTTTCTACCAAAAGCATAATTGCTAGAACGCCGCCAAAAACAAGCTAGCTCGAGGGCTCCTCTCGAGGACACCGTCCTCCAATCAAGTGTTGAAGTTCATCTGTGATGTCTACCCTTGCCACAGATTCCGTATTGTTAATGCTCATCGATCACTTCTTGTGGTCGACTCGGACTCAAGACATGCACGACCAGAAAGAATGGCACTGTCGTTCTTGGAGAGTTTGCTGGAAAGCGAGATGAGGTTGGTGCGGACGGTTAGGCTACACAGGCGTATGCAGTTTGCGAATAGATTCTAGCTAGAGTAGCTGTCTCCGACGAAACGCAGCTACTTCGTATATTGTAGTCTGATTCAATAGTCGACGCTCACATCTTCTCGTCGTTTGACCATGGCGTGGCTGCGTTACGAATTTTTGAAGTTGTTCGATGTTCGCCAAGAATCGTGAAAGAAACATGGGACGGTTCCAGGGCAATGAGTACATAACTGATATGGTTCCTTAATCACTTGAGCCCCATTGAGGAAGCCAATAAACCTACATGTTGTCAGAAAATCGATTGGCCGCACCAAGATTTAATCGGCGGCCGCTTCAGGTTACACGGGTTTATGTTTAAGAAATGCGTCTGATGTGCAAACGACACAACACACACCTAACATAATTTTGTCCTTTAAGATTACACTTCAAGAAGAATTACATGGTTAAGCATAAATAAAAAAGAGAGCTTGACCAGACGTTTGCTTGCGTTGTGGTGGTGGCGGTTGTAGACCATTTAGCATTCAGGGGCACAAAAAAAAAAGTCCTTCACCGTCCAACGTCAACACCACACCCTGCAACCCACGATGGACGACAGGACAACAAAAACGAAAGCCCGACGTGGGGGTCGAACCCACAACCTTGAGATTTGATACAATCGTGTCTGTTAGGACGTGATAACTAAGAGTCTCACGCTCTACCGATTGAGCTAGCCGGGCTGTTGTTGCTTTCGATGGAAATATGCAAGAATGCAACAAATATATTACACGAATGTCTCACTGACTCTCCGATGCCATCGCAGACATCTAGGAATGCTACATGGGAGTTCGGCTGGTTGTGGAAAATTTTGGCTGGATATGCGGGTCGGGTAGGCAAGCAAATTTTGCCAGTATCCGAAGACCCCGCCTCTGGCCTGCTCAGACACCATCAACACACTCTCTTCTATGTTCCACGTCTCCGGTACGCCTTGTACCAGCATTACGACATTCGGACGTTTTGACGGACCGAACAATATGACGCTTTGAACAGCCGAAATATTTCCACTTCGACGGACTCGACATTAGGACCGATGCTGTGGCTCGAACTGCCTGCTAGCCGTTTACTCATCTCCATTCTGCCTTGTGAGGCATGTTTCTGCTGCCTGAATCTGCAAGCAATCTGCACGTCACCGCACCATCAAAACCCTTCCTCTTATTGGTCTGGCGGATTTACCAGAAAGAGAAATTGTATGCCTCCCATACTAATGCTTCACGACCGCATCGCGACAACAGACGCGTAGAGTAGTGGCGAAGCATGACGGTGGTTTGATAGAACCGCATATAGACTCACCATGCATGAGTTTGGGGAACTTATACGAGATCGCCATGGGAAGCTAAACAAGCCTCCCTGGGTCGAAAACATCCTAAATGCATGTGAGTTTGTGTTGCACACTTGTTCGGTGAATTCAGTGCTTCTCGATGTACTCAGGGGTTCGTTAGGCAAATGACATGTGAAACGTTGGATACCTAATGCGCCCATTGCTAGTATGTACGAGGCGGAGTGAGAGGCTTTCTAGACCTGCATGGCATGGATTTGGGATGATACATGCTAGTGGTGCGCTTTGGGCGGAAACTGGTCGGTATCCTCGGTTCGATGGAAGAGTCGCGCCGACCTGTGCTAATCACTCGCGTGGAGTGCTAAACCTGACACGTGACGTAATCGCAACATCACTCCGTACTTAATTCAGTCATTACGTGCAGAAAGATTGCGACCTCCATTGCCAGCAGCCGTATTATATCACAGGATTTCCTGCATTGCATGCATTGGAAAAGCCCCTCCAGGTTACGATTCCACGCCCCAGCAACATTGCCGCTGTACGCCAGCAGGCAATCATGATGCTAGCGATGGTGACCTAGACAGCCTATTTAGGTAAAGATACTGGTCCGGGGTTCTTCATCTTTGGAGGAGAAGTAGGTGGAGCAGCTTACACCATCTCTTGCTACCCTGTCAAGTGTTCGACCGTCACTGGCGGCGTTCTGAAAAGTGTCTTGTCACCCTCTGGGTACTGTTTAGTTTTGTTCAAACCATTCCCATTATGATATTGTACTGCGTATTCGAGGTAGGGCATACAGCAATAGCCTGTAGCGATTTCCTAGTTCACAGTCAGTCTCCCCTTGCTTACTACGCAATTTGTGACTCGCTTGCTCCACTATCCAATATGATATTTTCACAAGCAGTATATAGACATCTTAATGTTAGTAAAGATGACCCCAAGTTTAACTAGATTATTTTGATGATCAAGAAAAAGACAGAAATGAAGAATTCCAAACTTCCAATCCGCTTAAGGGATACAGGTGAAGGTAGCAGAAACACAGTCTATGCTAGAGAATTTTTCCTCAAGCATAGCGTTACGGTCCTGTATGGATATGTACAGGACTTAGAGTATATAAAAACAAGGGGTTTCGCACATGTTGAGCGGAGCTTAAAACGTGTATCTATATAAGTACCATAAAGACAGTCAAGTTGGGGAGAAAATAAAGGTATTCGTGAGGGAAGAAGACTGAAATTGTACCAACGGATAATCACACAACGAAGCAGAATAGTGACCAAGCTAGAATACAAGATGAATGGTTGGTTTAGTGAGAGACATGATGAGGAAGAGATACGTGTTTGCAAAGAGATCCATATTTATACTTCGTCAGATCCACCTAACTTAGTGTCGAGGAGTGCCCGTGAGCATAGTAGTCGGCATACTAGAAGATCTTAATAGGACACGGGATTTGAGGCTGGTAATAGAGATGAAGTCTGGAAATGAGCAGACATTTTACGGCGACAAGTTGAAGCTAAAGCTATGCGATTAGATGGTCTAGTCCGACCCCTATCACCCTAGTCCATTCTACCACCGGAAATCCGCCATAATCGGGTCTCCTAAAGCGGACCGTCTCACAACTAAGCGAAAAGCTTAATTTGCAACTGGTGTGGACACGCGTCTCAATAATCCTTGCTGACCCTTGGTAAGGCAAACTACGAGGCTGAAACTCGACGTTTGTGATGTATCGATCCTACTGTATTGTATTATGTATTATAATGTAACATAACAGCGCGACGGAGTTACTAGGGGAATGTTTCTGGGGACTCCGAGGCGCATGTCACCGAGCTCATCTATTGATAGCAATCTAGCTCTCGGCTAGCCCGTAGAGACTTGTCGTGTGACGTCGAAGTCGTGATGCAGAATTCATGAATTGATAAGATACCGACATATCTCCAGGACAAAATTGGATCTTTGGGTACACGTGTGAGACTAAAAGCCCCTTCTACATGTCAAAGTCCAGATTCTCATTGTTCGAAATAGTTCCACTTTGCAGCGGGCATGATGGTGTATTCGCAATAGCTGTGATGACCACCAACAACTGCACCAAGTTGTGAAAACGATTCTGAAACTCGTAGCATGATGAGCGATATGCGGAGTGGCACCTCGCCTATCACTGGTTTTGCCCTAGGAAGCGGCCTAAGTGCAGAATCAGATGCATACTCCTTAGTGGAGAATTTAACTCCCTTACGCGTTTATGACCTCAGAAAAATCAACCTCGGTTTAATCATGCATGCAAATCAGATCCCACTATTAACACAGCTACTTGTTTTCGACGCAAAACCCGGTGAAAACTCCGAACGGCGACTCCGAACCTTCAGTCCCACCACACGGCAACAGGCATTTGACATCATACGTTTGACATCATACCCTACTCTTGAAGCGTGCATACACCCAAATATATGCTCTTTTCATGCAGGAACGCGTACGCTCTTCCATAAGACTTTCTCCAGGATACGAGGCCTACCCCAAGGCAGCAGCATACCAACTCAAGCTGGGCCCGATGTCCGGTTCGAGAATGCGAAGAATGAGGTATGGCGTGCAGCATCGACGACGTAGATCGACAGGAACGGGACGCCGTTCCACGTAGGCGGTCAAATTCCATACTAACGGTACCTAGGGTATCGCGGTAAGCCATCATTGGGCTCTCGGTGTATCGTGACAAAGGGTCAACAAACAACGGCCCAAGCGAGCAGAATGGCATGATCTAGTCTGCAAGAGACCAAACTGCAGGTACTTCGCGTATGCAATGTAGAACGTCCCATGCGTCATGCATCGGATGAGGCAGGTAAAACAGCGCTCCAGGCAGCGAGATCGTGCATCGTGCAGCGGACAAGGTGGCAGATCAGGTAACCCTCCCTACCTTAACCACACATGGCACTAGCTAGCATGTATGTGGTGTATTGACGCGCTGCTGCAACGGCTCAGGCTGTCTTCGAGGCAGAGAAAAATAACGTGGCCGCGCATCCTTGATTCGTGATAGTGGAGACGCCGACGTGACTCGACTACCGATCCTGTCTTTTCTTCTTTTTTCCGTAGATGCGCACTTGTCTGGGATGGGTAAGTAGCGAAGTTCACTTAACGTGGTGGGTGCGCGAGGCGTCCAACCTCTACTCGGGGTTGAGGCTGTGTTGTGCTCAGGCGACCAATCAGGGAGCCCTAATCCCGAGAAAGTCACGTGGCTGGGCCTATTGCTTCTGGAGAACGTGCAGAATTAGCACTAAGGTTTGCAAGGGACTTGTTGAAACACGAGTTAGCTTCCGTGAAACAGACCATTTCTCAAAGAATTTCGGACGGATAATTATCTCTATTGCCTATTATGACGAAACCGTCCAGACTCAACCTATCAACACTTGTCAAATCTAGCCTATCAAGTAATTGACTGCCAAGCCCTACACACAATATACATGTTGCACAGCCTCAAGAGCGATAGTAGGGATGTTGTGAATGTCTAGGGTCACGGTACATTGCCGATGCGCTCGGGTCGTAAACCTGCTGACTTGATGCAGTAGGTGGCGAGCGATTCGGCATCGTGGCATATGCTGCTCGGTCCGTGGAGGCTGTGTAAGCAATGTTGTGGGGCACTATTGGTTGCTGGGCGACCTGATATGGACTGTAGCCATAGAGTGGTGGATTTGTTGGTGCACCGGTGTGCAACGATGGTGCCGGGTGATGTGTGTAGGGCGATGTTTGATCCCATGTGGAAGGCACGTTTGAGCCCAGTGGTGGCTGAGTATACAGATATTGAGACGGGGCGACCGATTGATGTTGTGCGTTATGGTCGGCTATCGCGGTAGGTGTGGCGTATGTCTGCGGAGATGACCATGTTGAGTATGCATCATTGTCGAAACTTGACCAGGAATGGCGATCTGATCCATGAGAGGGTGTTGGCAATAATGTATTGTACACGTGTGAACTGTGGGAGAGATAGTCGTCGTCATCAGGATAGCTTGACAAGCCCGCCGGTGTACCACAATCGGATGGAGAGCTTGGAGCATTGGGCAGGGTGATACCCTGATTCTGATATCTCCGCACGAGGACAGTGTATCTTGAGATCATCAAAAACAAGCCCCAAAGGCAAGAGTAAGTAACATACCGATTCTTGATATCATTCTTCGATCTGCCGGGGAAATGTTCGCGTTGAATATCTTTCCAGTGTCGTCCGAGTCTCTGAACTGCATCGATAAGTGCTGCGTCCTGAGAAGCGTCTGTTAGCTCACTGAAGTGTGAAATATGCTACAATGATGTTCACTGACATCTGAGTCGCGCCATTCACTTCGGTCTAGATCAGGATCAAGTGACTGCTGCCACCGCTTCGCGCACTCTAATTATCGATCAGCGATGAACACAGCTATCATCCATCAAACTTACGATCTGCACTGCGTGTTCCGACGCAGTTTGCAACTACCGTCCATCTAAGAATACAACAGTCAGCTTCTGTACTTTCTCCCAAAGTTTGTTTCATTTAATCATACTTTTGGCCGTACTGCTGCACACCTCTTGAAAGCAACTGATCTTCACTCTTTGACCATTGTCCTTTCTTCAGGCCTCCTGCTACCGAATTGTGCCATCGTTTTCTACAGTCCTTGTTCGTTCGTCCGGGGAGGCTATCGGCAATTCTGCACCTAGGCATCTCATTAGTTGCGGAATCAACTGGCGTGATATTTGACCTACCAATCCTTGACTTCTCCTTCTACAACTGATGATATCCAGTTAGCTCAATTGAAGAAAGTTGGAGGATAACAAGCACAGCTTACGTTGTGCTTCCACTTCTTCCCGAAGTTTCTGGTCTTCCGCCAAAGACCATTTTCGAGGTTGGCGACTCGAGTGGTCCATTAGAGCCAGGATATATTGGAACCTTGTCTTCTAGAGTATGCTTGTATAACCAACAGGGAAACGTTCTAACAACGGAAAAAGAGTGCAGTGGAAAAGAGGGAAGATATCTAAAGGTGTTAAGAATTCCAAGAAGCTTCCAAGGTTGTCTTGTATTGGTCAAGTAATAGTGGTAGAAGACGAGTAAAGAGTGCAAGACTATCAGATATGTAGACATCGTGAAGAGCCGACTACAAGCTTAAGCGGAAAGCTAGCATAATAGTAATCCGTCGTCTTGGCAAGCCAGGTACTTGGGTATAGCGGAGGTTAGACGGCAAGGGACAGTATGCCAAGCTGTATTGTTCGAGGTCGATGCTCGGTTTGGTTAGCGGGCGCGCTGACCTACAGCGTTTTCGAAACAATCGAGTAACGAACATGTTCCATGCATATCAACGGGGCTTCGCAGCCATGACGCGTGCGCTTAGGGCTAATGCATCGTCTGACGGGCCGTTGACCAGGTGGTGTGTACAGCCCCCAAAGGATTCCCGCATGGCTAAGACCCTGTAGGTAAGGCTGCATGGACCATACACCGCTAACCCCCCAGGAACACTAGAACTTAGCAACTGGTTGGAATAAGCTTATTGCTCCACAGGATATGCCATGTAATTGCCAGGAACAGCAAGTTACACACATGGCATGCCTGACGTAACAGTCGTTCATTGCCGATGTATTTTCTTCTACCCTCTGTGGATCGCACCCCACTTACCAATGGCAGAAAGTACGCTGGAAGCGATTCGAAAGGAAGAAACAATGGTCGATGTGTATATCTTACTTCAAGCAAAACAGGAACGATGTAGTCGCTCGATGAGGAAGTCCATCCATGTCCGGTTTCGAGTTGATTTTAGAGAGGTTACATAGTGGCTGAGCTGTAGACCAATATCGGCCCACGCTGATCATCTCAACGAGACCGCCGAAGGGATCTCCGAAATGAACCAGACCAATCGATAGCTACAAGGAACTAGCGAAGTGAAGTTTGCGATGTGCGTGATACGCTTTTGTTGGTACACCCATCACAATCACAGTCAACGAGGAGGAGTGGCAATATCGCTCACGTTTAGTGACAGTTTACGCCCTGGTCTTGCAAATATACAGTAAGCTCTGATATAGACAGCGGCTTGTATGGTACCGTATTGTTGGGATCAGTTCATCCTGCTGCAGGTGCTAATTACTACTGCCGGCGTACTCTTGCTGGCACGACAGACGGCGAGTGCATCGGTCGCGAATTTGAGGACCAAAAGCCAGATAAACTGAATGTCTTCCGGTAGCGAGATTACTGTTCGTGTCGTAAGTTCACGTGGGGAGTTGTGGGATGTACGACAGGAAGTGAGCGAGAGTGCGAAGATCATCAGGTCTTAGTGCTTGTAATTCGTCCCATTCGGCAAGTGCAATCGGTCGTTTCTGCCCAGGTGGCCGCCGCCGATCACCCTGCGCCTCTCCGCTATATATCAAAGCAACAATATGGATTTACATAGCTGCCTGGCGGAGTCGGATTCAATATTGTCGTTGAGATTCTGCCACCATACCGAGCTGGGTTGCACCCTGGCCCACCGCCGGTTGTCTCAGGGCTGGATGTAAGGCTGGATATGCAACATCACACAACATTGATGCACGGTAATCTCGAGTGTTCCGAGGAACATAACTGAATGGACAAACGAGTTGATTCGCTCAGATGTTCCGTAGAGGTATATCCATTGAGTCGTACACCTGACCTAATCTGATTGTGGGCCTTCCGGTTTGTGAGAGAGTACCGTCTATTAGTCGCCGGGTGGTGCGCTGCTTCCCCAGATGAGCGCGCATGACAAAAACCTAGCCATTGTCGTAACCGCCCGGCATGCGTTCGATGGCATTGACCGACCGGACTTTGTATCTGCCAAAAGGGCAGCAGCAGGTCCAGAGAAGACAGATCGATACCGTTGTTGCAAGTCGCAGAGATGTCTCTAGTGCTGATTGACACGCGTAGTTGAAAATGGCGTGGCTATAGCAATGGCTTCAGCTGACGCAGGTATACCCGTCGCCGTGAAGTGAAGATGACAGCATCCCCGTTATGTCATGCTGATGCTTCAGGTCTTGCCCATAAGCCTCTGTGCTTTAGCAAGCAGAACTGTACTCTCTCGCCCCAATTTCCTCTGTCCATTCGGCCCCCTCGCTTTGGCCATAGTTTTTCTGAAGCGCTCGCGCTCAGCGACTTTCTTCGCACGCTCCTTGTCTGCTTCCTCCCTCGCTCTTTGCCGCGCCTCAATCTCCTCCCTCTTTTTTTGTGCTACTTCGGTCTCTTTCAGAAAGGGCTGTGGGCGTGGTCGCCGCTGCCGTCTCTCGAAGTTCTGCCTGGGTTCTGGCTCGGGTGACTTCTCTTCTAGCATTGCGACGCGATCAGGATGCGGCTCCAGAGTGGGCTCTGGTACAGGCTCGGTAGACGCCTCTTTCTCACTCTCGTTCTCGTCTTCATTGTCGTAGGCAGATTCGCGATCGTAGACGGACTTGCGCGGCGTCGTCGCTTCGTTTTCTTCGCGAGCCTTGAGCTTTGCGTACTGCTTCTTCAGCTTTGCCTTGTTGATGAGGCCTTTCTTAATCTTTTCGACTACACGCAGAGTCAGTAAATGAACTGTATGATATGGCGCGAGCAGATGTGGGTAATCGCGTAGTTGCCTATTGGATCATAACACCACGATACCCTCATCCAAGTTTCCGCTGTCACAGAAACCTCTGTAAAATCTAGTCGAGCAGACATACTTTTCCGTCTATGGGTACCATCGGGTAGGTTGGCAGGACCGATAGCAAATCGACTTTTTTGTTTCTTGAGAGAAGACTTTGCGTCTCCTTCATGCGGTCGTTTGACACCCATATTGGAGGCTGTGGGATGTCGGAAAAGTTCAGAGTCGCGGTACTAAGATACTCGCGGAGAACGCGAGCCGATTTCATCCAGCCTTGGCAGAGTGGGGCGCGATGTAGAGCCGGTCACGAGTCCTTCGACCACCGCGACGGGCGATGGACTCATGCCTCAGCTTTGTGCGCCGTCGCATCTATGCACCCAATATTCACGCCTCCCGCGGGGACGTGCAGGAGCATCCGGGAGAGATATTCTTTTTCGTCGTGTGACACGTCGCGTCGGCCAATACCGGTTCGGTGGCACGAGCGACTTTATCAGCAGCGATTAGGAAACTTCCGTCTTGTAACAAAGCTCCCAGCGCGTCATCCGTCCCGGTCCCTGCGTTCCTCCTCTCCGCACCTCGAATTGGGGCGCTCCACGGTGTTTCGTCCTAAAACTGGGCAGTATGACTGTACAATGAAGCGGCCACTGGAGCCAACGCACCCGATTTAAACTGGAAACTCTTACTCATTTCATTCGCCGGGCCAGCAGCTGCTCCAACCGCTTGACCTCACTGTCTCCGCCTTCCTCACGACCTGCCTTTTGTGCTCCACGACTTTCACGGTCGCGAACACGCCACTATTCTCTGAGTTTCATTAGATCTCTATACTCATGCTGTTCATTGCAACTATTTGTTACAACCATGCCCATATTTCATGATCCCCATGATAGTCCGCCGACATCGTCATTCTTGCCTCAGGCATCGGTCACGGGGTTTCAGAGAGCAGACACTTCGGGATTCGCTGTAGAGAGAAGTCTGGAATCCGACATGCAATCAGAACCACCGAAAATCGACATATCCCTGGATAGGGACCCTGAGTCCCCTAGTCAAACGCGCAAGCCATTTATGTTCGGACGGAAGGAGTGGATCGAGAGGATCAAGAGGACGAATAGCCCATCGTGGCTGCAGCGGCAGGGTGTGAGTACCCGGAGACCTAGGGAGCATCTGCAAGGAGTTTGTTAGTCGATGTAGGGAATACTGATAATGTAATATAGGGCGAAGTCATGACTGAATGCGATGCCTCCACCCGACCGACATCGCAAGACCGTCCGGACACACCTCTAGTCTCATCCACCGAGCCGCAAACCTCACGAATCTCTACCCCGGAACACCTTCGAGATCCTGCAGCCGTCGGCCTGGATATCGAACGCCCGCGATCCGCGTTACACTCCGGAGACTTCAGAGAGAAGAGAGCAGGAGCAACATCTGAGAATGATCATTCGTCTTCAGGCTTCCTAGCAACTTCGCCAGTTGTCCCTTGGAATCGCTCATTCCCAACCTCAGCCTTTGCCCCACAACACAAAGACGTCTCGTATCCGGGATCGCGCACCGATGACAATCGTACAGCTGCACGAGCACGGGCGATATCGCAGTCATCACAGTCACCGTTTAGTTCGTTCGCCTTCCTACCACCCACAAGCCCGCTTGTCCAGCAGGCAAATAACACAGACTTGGACTTCTCCTCAACCCCAAGCTCGCGGCAGGGATCTCGAAGTCCTGACAGAGACCATCGCCGACATACATACTCTCCTGCATCCTTTGATGATTACAAGCCCACCCAGATGGCCCGATCTGCGACCGGCACTCCAGCTGCTCGGCATCTACGACATAGTAGTTCGATACCATACCAGGCGCATCAACCTCGACGATCGATGACGTTCAATCAGTCTGAGCCTCATTCTCATTCGCAAACGCCGTTCCTCCATGCACGGCGCCCCTCCTTCTCGTCGGAGGCATCTCCATTGCAGCACGCTCCCATGGTTGGGTCCTACGAGGAGTCGATACTACGGGGGCGCATGTCTACTACACCATCACGGCCTCTCGACTTCGTCGCTAAAATTGGAGTACTTGGCAGAGGGCAATGCAAATCAAGCCTCAAATGTCCACCTCATGTCACGGTACCCTTTCCAGCAGTCTTCTACAGCTATAATACAGGCAACGGTAGGATTTCGGATAATGAGCCGAGTCCCTATGTTGGGCATATTGATCTAGAAAATTCATTGCCACCGCCAGATGAAAGCAGTGAGAGTGGTAGACGTAAGCGACGACATGTTGTACCTGCCCCTGATCAAGACGATCTCGATTTCAGGATAAACCTTGGAGAAGAGGAGAATGGTCAAGGTGCAAGAGGGGACCTTCGTCGGAAAGAGAAGAAAAAGCGACGATCGACGTCACCCAAGGCGCCTCCCGGGGGCTCTTATCGTATTCCGCCACAAGGTCAGCTCCAGATCGTGTTAAAGAATCCAAACAAGACAGCAGTCAAGCTTTTCCTAGTTCCGTATGATTTGTCGGATATGGAACCTGGCCAGAAAACTTTCATTAGACAACGTAGCTACTCTGCAGGGCCTATTATCGATATGCCCGCATCATCACGAAAGAATCTGGGCACCGACCGTCCAGAAGCTGCTCTCAGCAATTCAGATGACCCAAACGACCGGCCAATTCTGCGTTACCTAATCCACCTACACATATGTTGTCCTTCAAAAGGTCGCTACTATCTGTACAAAAGCATACGAGTCGTTTTTGCGAATCGAGTACCGGACGGTAAAGAAAAACTCCGAAACGAGATCCAGCAACCGGAGCCCAGATATAGCACGTACAAACCGACGCGAGAAGCACCGTCATTGCAAAAGGCACAGTCAACCGGAGCCCAGCTTACCACGGACCGGGCTTTCCGTCGGCGCAGCGCTGGATGGCCACTCTCGCAGTCTCAGCAAGCATACGGACAGCTGGATGGCCTGAAGCAACACACACCACTTCCTCCCCCAGCTGTCAAGTTCACCGGTGGCACCACCAATTCCTCAGCATCGAGCGGCTTCAGCTCGCCTGTACCAGAATTGCAACCCATACCTTTTAGCCTTGGTCGCCTTGCTGCGATCGATTCGCGGCCTGTTTCCCGTGACCGCATGGATGTTGATCCGAAGAGCCCATTCAGAACGCCTATAACATCACCGCGAGCTGGCGTAAGTAGTTTGAACAATCAGAGCGACGGTACCTTTGAGAAACTGAGCAAAGGCGATGTCGGCTATGGCGGGAATGCATTCTCGCCACTTGGTAGCCCCTCTGGTCCGCCCAACGCAGGTCTCCTGTCGCAGCGACTCCGCGGTTTAGATGTCCAGCGCAACGAGGAAGAGTAAGCTGCCTCACCATCTATGGGTCTTTGTACCATTTCTTGTATATTTTGTCTTCCATTAGAATACCCCATGATTCGTTGTACCTTGCATCGGCGTTGTTGGATACTGCATTGGATGGCGTATTCTCCCCTATATACGTTTTTTTACACGTGAAATGAATCAATCATATATGAAGCACCTTTTTTGTGGATAGAAACTTTGCCTGAAAAGCCACCTTAAAGATGTACGCCATACTTTACGATTGAGTCATAACAAGAGATTACACAGGGTCCAAATTCAAAGTTGCTTTCATCATGGGTGCAACTTGTTAGAAATGGACACCCTCGTACCATGCGCTCGGGTGCTGCAGCCGATTTATGCGTAGTGCTTGCCGAACTGAAATCTTAGCGTGATTACGATCTAACGTTCGCGAAGAGTGACGTCGGCAATAATTCCGCTTGCAACTTGAACATTGGACGTCATAACCCGAACAACATCTTCAGTAGTTCTAACATAGACATCGCCAACTCCGTTCCAATTAAACCGTCAGAAACATCGCTGCATTCTTCGCGAAAACAATGGCCTCCAAACGCGCCGCCCAGCTGTTCGGCGCCCGCTCTAACGCCTCCGTCATCGGCCAACGGACTACGCGGTTGAGCTTCACCACTGCACGCGCTTTTAGCATTGCGCCTAATTCGCCAACCGCAAATGCTTTGAAGAGCAGATTCGTAGTCGTAGAAAGCGCAGGGAGACTACAGGCTATCCAGGCGCAGAAGAGGTGGCACTCACAAGCGCCAAATGACTTGAAGCAGAACAAACTTTACCAGTTCGACGACGTACGTCTACTTATTATGGGGCCCGAATCCCTTCCAAACCTCTTGCTAATTCACAAAGGTCCTACACATTCTCGAAGCCCCATCAGACTCACGCCTTCTTATCGATGTCCGCGAACCCCATGAATTCGAGAAAGATACTATCCCAACCTCTATAAACATCCCCGTCACATCACAGCCCGATGCGCTGCTACTAGATGAAGAAGAATTCCAGGATAGGTTTGGTTTTCAAAAACCACCGAAAGGGAAGGAGGTTGTCTTCTTTTGCAAAGCCGGAGTGAGGAGCTCGGCAGCTGCGGGGATTGCAAGGCAGGCTGGGTAAGTCCACGTCTCATACCGGAATGCACACCGAAATCCAATTTTGAAAGGCAGTAGTTTTTTTGAATTGAAAAACAAACAAACAGAGTACGCTTATTGATTCATACGGCAGATATATAAACATCGGCGAGTACCGCGGATCCTGGCTCGACTGGCAGAAGCGCGGCGGACCGGGCACAAAGTCCCCACCAAAGCCTGATGGCATGGGTGAACCTAAAGCCCCTACAACCGAAACAAAGCCTACAGCTAGGACGGGCGACAGTGGGGAAGAGGACCTTGGGCCTCAGGGACAGCCACCATATCCACCAGGGCCCATGGGCCGGCAGTAGATCTGCGATGTGATATAGGGCTAGACTATCAACAGATCACCTCATATCATTGCCCGGAGGTTGTAAATATGAAAATGAAGACTGCACATATGACTGGTTCAAGATCACTGCACAAGCATATTGTTATGATGACATTATGGTATTATAAAGGTAGAGTGGAGCTGGCTGCAACTATATGGCTTATCGAAAGAAAGGGAATGTCATCAAGAGAAGGTAACGAATGCGTTTACTGCGTGCCGCAATCAACACCGCTCGGTATCATCGGTCTAGAGCTTGAGCCTGACACTGTTTAATAGTTAGCGTTTCTCAACTCGTGTAAGTAGGTCAGTCGGAAACTCACCATCTGCCAATAGACTCCCCTCTTCCTCAACAGTCCCTGATGATCACCCCTCTCCAACACCTTTCCACTACCCAACACGAAGATAATATCCGCCTTCTGGATAGTAGCAAGTCGATGAGCGACAGCAATCACAGTTCGTCCACCATCGCCAGCGGCGCGTTCAATCGCCTCTTGAACCAGTTTCTCGGATTCGGAGTCCAGAGACGACGTTGCTTCGTCTAGCAAAAGTAGTTTTGGTTTCCGTAGCAAAGCTCGAGCAAGACTAAGACGTTGTTTTTGACCACCAGATAGAGACATGCCTCTTGGTCCGAGACGCTGTGCGTATCCATCCGGCAAGGACGTGATGAAGTCGTGGATTTGAGCGTCGCGACACGCTTGCTCAATATCTTCATCCGTGGCGGTATCAACAGACAAGGCGACATTTTCTCGGATTGTGCCTTCGTAGAGTGTGGGTTCTTGACTGACGAGACTGATCTGTTTGCGGTACTCTGAGGGGTCAAGGGAAGTGATGTCTTGTCCATTGTAGAGAATCTGACCGGATGATGCGTCGTAGAAGCGCTCAAGGAGGGAGATGGTGGTTGATTTGCCGCAACCGGATGCACCTACCAGTGCGATGAACTGGCCAGGCTGGACTTGCAGGCTGAGGTTTGACAATACAGGCACCTCTCGACTTTTGTAGGTGAAGTACACGTTTCGAAACTCGATTCCCACCCCTTCTTCTGGTTTACTCAGTGGTGGGTACGATGGCGGCGAAGCGTTCTTCTGTGGACGCATACTGATGATACGGTTAGCAGCACCGGTCGCTTGCGCCATGTTTGGGGCGAAGGAAAAGAATTGACCTGCTGCGATGGCACCTTGAACAATAGCTTGGTAGATGACGAAGAAATCGACGGTGTCGTACTCGCGGGAGGCCAAGAGGGTACCGCCATACCAGAAGGTAAGAGCCATACAAGCAAGCTCAATACTGTCACTCGCCGCGAAAATCAGGGTACCATACTTTGCACTCGAGAAGGCCGACGCAACGTGGCCCTTGAGCAACGTCTCGTAGCGGTGACCGATCATGTCTTCCATGATCAGACTAGATACGGTGCGGAATGCACCGACAGCTTCAGCCGCGAATTGACTGCTATTCTCAAAGACCTTTGCATTGGTCTTATCGAATTCAAGCTCTAGACGCACGCGAAGATACCCAGCAGCCAGAATTAATGGCAGTGCGGCAAAAAGACCAACCAGTGAGAGCTTCCAACCGTATACGAAAGAGATGATAACGCAGCCAACAACGTTGACAATGGCAATGCCCGCCAAGGACATTTCGGTCGCCATCAGCTGCTGGATCTGTGTCGAGTCCGAACTTAGCCTCGCTGTCAGAGATCCGGGGCTATGTCCTTGGTCGTCAAAAAACGCAATGCGTTTGCGTATGAGGTTATCAAGATACTCTTGTCGATACTGCTTCGTCACCATGACAGCGATGAGATGACAAGCCGATCCCATGAAGAAGTAGGAGAGAAAAGTACTTGCAGCTAGCACACCGAACATGCCGGCCCAGAAGTTACCCTGACTAACGAGCTCATCCACTGGAAGGGTGAAGACGTTGACAACACTTGCAAAGATGTAGGCTTGCAGTGGGTAGACAGCACCGCTAGCCAAAATACCGAGAACAGCGACGGTGTATAATATCCAATGGTGGCGTTGCTCGTAGAGAAGACGTCCAAAGCTACCGAGAAGACCTTGTTGTTTGTATTCCGGATCTGCTGCCGCTTCAGATATCTGATTGCTGTGTTTGTGCTCCTCGATGATGGTGGTATCTGTGCTTTTTACCTTCTCGAGTGCATCGACATCAGCGTCCTGTTCAGCCTCCATTGTGATTTCTTGTGCATGAACTAAGCCGTAATAGACACCCGCTTCTATCTTCAACAGCTCTTCGTGGGTGCCTTGCTCCACAAGCTGGCCTCGACGTAAGACGACGATCTTGTCCGCTCTTCTGATGGTGGAGAGGCGATGCGCGATGACGATAGTTGTTCGATTCTTCGATACGCGATCGAGAGCTTGTTGAACGATACGTTCTGTCCGTACATCTATAGCACTAGTCGCCTCGTCTAAAATAAGTATAGCCGGCTGTTTGATGATACTTCGCGCGATGGCAACCCGTTGTCGTTGACCGCCAGACAGCTTGATACCGCTCTCTCCCACCAATGTCTCATAGCCTTCTGGTAGTTTGGCGACAAACTCTTCAGCATAGGCTTCGCGACATGCGTTTTCTACCATTTTCATCTTGTCTTCTTTTGGCAGGTCTTCGTATTGGGTGCCTGTCAGACCGAATGCCACGTTGTTGTATAGAGTATCGTTGAAGAGGAAGGGCTCTTGCTGGACCAGGCCAATCTGAGAGCGCCACCATTTTAGGTCGACATCCAGTAGATTGGTATTTCCAGTCCTGATGTTACCAGTGCAAGTGTTTGGACCCAGCTCAGGCTCATCGTCTTTGCTCTTGTCATGTTCGACTGCTTCTGTGGATGCTTGTTTGTCTTCGGTCTTCGGTTCAGCTCGTTTCTTAAACCAGCTAGACTTCTTAGAGCCACCGTCCTTAGCTTTAGATGCGTCGTTGGGGGGCGACAAGTGGTCTTGGTCTGCATCAGATGGAACCGTGGCTGTCGTGCCTGATAGGTCGTACCATCTCTGTACCAGTCCTACAATAGTAGACTTACCTGAGAGTGGGAGCACAAAATCAGTAACGATCAGACGGACTCGAATGGTCGAGATCACTTACCACTTCCAGACGGGCCGACAATAGCGGTGACTTTACCGGCCTCAAACTCAAGATCAAGGCCCCCAAGGATCTGAACATTTGGTCGGCTTGGATACGAAAAGGCAACATTATCGAAAATAATGTTTGAGTTTGCCGATATGTCAGGCTCCTTTACTCCAGCAGTATTAGGGATGGGGGCATCGATTGTGATGAACAGTTCGGTAGCCGCAGATGATGCCTTCGCGATAGCGATGATGGGGCTGACAACCCTGCTGATATTCATGATCGCCATCATGACAGAAAATAGGACCACAACTATGACCCCGATGTCGCTACTCTTGCCCTCTGAGTACTGCTTGATGCCAAACCAAAAGGCGATAGCGAAAGTGCCGTACTGTCCAACCATCAAAGGCGACATCATGAGACCCATCAAAGGCGCAGCTCTACGCTCATTCTTAGCAGCTTTGTCTAGCAAACTTTCATGCTGCCTTGCCAGTTTCGCCTCTGCTCCGAAGGCAGCAACAATGCGAACTGACGAGAACATCTCGAAAGCCATAGCCGAAGCATCTTCATGATGCTTCTCAGTGACCTTGTGTATCCGGATAAAAGGTGGTACTAGGGCACCCGAAATGATGAGGATGAACGGCAACGAAGCAGAGGCGACTACAGTAAGCAGCGGGCCTTTAACGAAAGCTACCACATAAGCTCCGATGACGAATGCGAGAGATTGGAAGAGCATAGCGAAATGCTGCGATATGGCCAGTTGAACTGTGTTGGAGGAAGTGGTAATTCGCGTGGAAACTTTGCCGGGGCTTATAGTGTCTATCACACTGACGGGTTGTGCAAACAAGGCTCGTAGGTAAGCTAGGCGAAGTGCAGCAGAGATTCGAAGACCACTGATTCGGATAGTGAGCTGTATCAGCGTTAGTGTGTTGATGGTTTATCTGAGACATATGTCTGTACCATTGCTATGTATGACAACACGAACTTCGCGATGAAGAGGTAGAGGAGAAACAGTGTAAGTCTGTTGATCTCCGCTTGAAATTCGCCAGCTGTCATAGTAGTCCCAGGAATAAAGTAGTTGGTAAAAGAACCGACCAGTTGACCTAATCGTAGTCAGTATCCCTTAAGTGTATCCCACATCCAGTGACGTCGGATCATACCGAAGACAACATTCATCAGTGGAAACGTGACGCCCGAGGCTATTGATGTGACACAGCACAGAAACATGAGCCAGAAGTCCAACTTGGATCCGTACGAGAAGACTCGCTGGCCATGTTAGCGATGAATCACGTCCAAGGCGGAGTACATACGAAGTAGTTCTTCAGACCTGCCTGCGGTACTTTCTTTGCTTTCGTGGAGCTCTCTCCATCTTTCTCTACAGCCTCAGTGGCGCCCTGCTTTTCCTCGGTCCCTGTCTCAAGGATTTGAGTAGCGAGCGCAGCATTTTCTGCTTCAGCATTGGTCGTTGGTCGAGGTGGCAATCGACTGTCGGCGATACTAGAATCCATGACTCGGCTCAAAAGGGTGAAAACAAAGTTGTAAAGAACATGAGCAGAAGAGAAGAGTATACAAGGGTAGCAGAGGTGGTTATGTAAACGAGTGAACAAAAGTAGATGCCTGATGATGCGGCTGCCGTATAGAGCGTATCCTGGTCTACAACGGCAGAAGTGGACCTACATGCTCCGATTTGGCACGTACATCGCAAAAAGACGGAGTGAAGGTGCGAGGTAAGGATCCGCAAGCAGGATAATCTCGAACCATCCTTCGCATGGGCGCCTTTGGGGGCTGAGTTCGTACGGACTTGGCGCAACGAACGACTGGCGGCGCTAACTGGCATACATCTCGCTTCACCACAGTTCTTCCCAATCGAGCGAATACCTGCGAGCTGAAAGGGGCAACGCGCGTCTGCCGTGTTTCAACGTCCAGAGCCCTAGTCAATGCGAATAAGAAAACTCGGCTAAAAAAGAACGCTCCGTAAATTTGGCCCCTCGCAAGTTAAGTCGGAATGAATCAGGCATACGAGTGATGGGTGAAACTTACCTGGAAAGTCGGATGTTACTTGCTCTTCACATTGCCCTTGACGGAAGTCGGTGCCCGCAAGTCCGACGATACATGGAAAGGTTGTGTTCACTACCAACAATAGCCGACACCAACCTACACCGGTTCTGGCAATAGCCATGGCCAAGATATGTATTTAAGCGTGCCTGCAGAAATGACATACTGACAAAGTGGTCTTACATGTATACATTCCAGGCAACACCTTAGCTGTCGCACCTGCAATGACCAGCTCGTTTAAATGGTAGCAATCGCATTCATGAAGAGATTCTAGGAAACATCGAAATAGCGTTAGCGTTCGCTATAGATTGGCGACGCAGGCGCGCAGGGCCAGAGGGACGCGACACGGTTATTTTGCTCCTCCATGAATGTCGATGCCACCTCAGAGCACAATCGAGTCTTAGATTATCAATGAATGCAATATACCTTCTTGCTAGCTTTGCAGCTCGTCCAGTTCATCTCTACCACAATACTCTGTTTCCATCTCCCTTATAGCTTCTATGTTGGAGTTTCCCCTCGCAACCTCCTTCCTCCTCTCTAACCTTACCAAACTCTCGATCAATCGTTTCATGAGCCACTCACTTTCACTGATCCCAGATACCATGGGACTATCATCTCCAATCCAATCCCAGTTGACTAGGCCTTCTTCGTTTTCTTCATCAAACGTCGTTGCACCGCTTCCAAGATCACGGTCCAGGCGCTCTGGACTGGTCAAGCGAATAAGTCGCGTGAACTCAACCCACTCCTCATACGTATAGCGTTTTTTATCGGTTTTCAGATCGAGAGAAACTTTGTGGATGGAAAGGGCGAGACGACGAGTAAGAGAGGCCCGGGTGGGGGGGTTTGTGATGTCAGTCTCGGCTTCATTGGCGAGAGCAAGAACAGTAGGGTGGCGAGTCAACTCCAAGTCGGTAGCTTCTTCGCGATGTTCGGGGTCATTCAGGATGTCTTCTCGGTTCTGGAGGTCAGAGGAGGTTGCAGAACTGTCCTCTGATCTTGGATCTGCGATGCTGAAGCCCCTGATCAGCCTCTTCTTTCTCGCTCGGTACTCTGTCCACTGCTGCAGCCACCGCAGTAGCCAGGGATGCTTGTTCAGGAAAGAACGCCAGATACCTGCTTTAGGTAGTACCGTAAAGTCAGCGAGCTCGTCGCTCCACCTCTTAAAATTGGCAACAACCGTATCCCCTAGATCCGAAACCAAAATGGTCATGGTCGGCACGGCTATCAAGCTCCAGATGACGAAGAAGCAGCGCCCAGAATTGGATCTCGGTGCCAAGTCTCCATAACCAATAGTCAACAGACTGACATAGCAGAAATAGAGTGACTGGAAGTACGTCAAGTTCAGCGTTTCCTCTTCGGTCACCCAGAAGACGACCGCGCCAACACACCAGAGAATTGAAAATGTAGTGACGGACCAGAATAATGCCATCCAACGCTTGAACTTCTGTGAATCGGCCTGGATTTTGCGCATAGCCTCAAAACGATCCTTCTCTTCTTTCAACAGCATAATCTTCGGTTTAGAGGAGGCTATACCAAAAGCATGAGCGACACGGGGAATAGTTGATGTATGCTGAACTGATTCGCCTACAAGCGTCCTGAGAGGCCGTGGCTCAGTGGGTGCTGATATCCGTGGAAAGCCAAGTTTACGTTTCCGGATCAGGTGGTGAGCTTCGCGCTCACGATGTCGAAGATCAAACGAATTGGTAACTGTACGTTCTGCGACACGCTCGCGCATGCGATCAACATGCTTCTGGACAATTTTCTCGTCCCCAAGCTCGCGCACCGCTGTGTAAAGCGATGAGACGATGAGAGCTAGCGTTATTGTACCGCCCACAGAGTACGGAAATACAATACCCCTGGTGACGTCGGTCGTGGGTACCAGGTCGCCGAATCCAACAGTTAGAATAGTTGCGTCGCAAAAGTAAAGAGCGTCGGCGAACCTCCAACTATCTTCGCCAGCATCTTGCTCAAGCTTCGCAAAGATTGCTGCGCCGCCACCTAGCCAGATGAAGAAGGCCATAGTCTGTAATATGAGTGTCCTCTGACTGTCGCTCAATGCGAAGTTCTCTGGATAGTGACCAAGAAAGAAACCAAGCATGTTGACCATGAGAATCATGGAACAGATGGTGTAAAATGCTGCACCCGCTATCGCATACCAAAATCCTTGCGTATACCCTTGTTCCGGTCGAATGGGTGGTTGGTAAGTGTTCATGCATATCGTTATTGCTATCAGAAACGCGGATGAAAGATACCATAGAACGACTGTAACAGGTAAAGCAATAATGTAGCGGATCCTCTGTGTGAAGTTGAGGAGAAGGAAGAGGTTTCCAAGAAACCCGCAGATGAGTGAAGCTACGTTAATCCAGTAGCACCATCTCGGGTCGCCAAAAGGTACACCTTCGAAGTCCGAGACTCGGACGCCATCGATGATGTTTTGCTGCCTCCAGGGGGTGACGAGGGCAGCTATCGAGCTTACATTTGCCAGTGGACCGAGAGTTGCAGCGAGCAAAGGAATTCCGGTGCTGGCAAACCACCAGTCACTGTCCTGCCCTTCCCATTTCTTCCACACGTTCCACCATCTTTTCCGATTGCTGTCTTTCAAAGACTTATGCTCTTTTCTTTTCTCCTTTTCTGATCGAGACGTGTGCTGCCTCAAATCGTTTGCTTGCTCCGGTTCTTCTTGTTCATGCGCCATCATCGGTGCGATGCAACATCGGACATCGTCAATCTACTATGTTAAATGTCTTTAGTGTCTCCAAATATGGCAGAAACCGTCGAGAACCCAAGATGAACCTGGCTTTATTAATAGCACAAGGATTCGAGATTTGTGGAAAGCCGGTCAATATGTCCGGTAAGAATGTACGCCGATGACTAGATGCTTAGAAAGTGGCGCTAGGCGATGCATGTACCTATTCAAGAAGCGTCCACGGCTGGCGGGTAGATACGGAGGAAGATGTGAAAAACGAAAGAATAACGACTGCCTTACGCAGAGAAGTCATGGCCACGCATCTGACCCAAGTCTCCAGCAAGGCCACGCGATTGACTACTCGGCTATCGCGGCGTGGTGGAGACCGATCGTGGGTGCGTAGGTGCTAGTGCCGATCAGCCGTTGACGCACGCCAAGCAGTCATTGACTAGGGATATTTGAAGATCTAAAATTAAGGCTTCACATGCTGTCAAGGACTGTCTAGAAAGCGTAGGACGTGCTCGTCTACTTTATTTCAGAAATCACAATGAGGTATGGAAATCTGTCAGCATGATACTCGTGCCTGAACGTCCGAACAGTCCATGTTGTTCATCTTATTGATTTCTTTTCAAACTATGTACAACATGTATGTATGACACGCCCAGTGCTTACTGCGACTTGAGCTTCTCGGTCAATTCTGGGACCTTTTCGAAAAGATCTCCAACGAGACCGACGTCTGCGACCTGGAAAATGGGTGCCTCGGCATCCTTGTTGATAGCTGCAATGACCTTGCTGTCCTTCATGCCTGCCAGATGCTGAATAGCACCGGAGATACCAGCACACAGGTATAATTGTGGCGCAACGTTCTTTCCAGTCTGGCCTACTTGTAAACTGTTGTCCGCAAAGCCGCTGTCGACTGCTGCTCTTGATGCACCGATAGCCGCACCGAGCGCATCTGCTAGCGGTGGCATGAGCTTGTCGAACTCCTCCTTGGACTTTAGACCACGACCTCCCGAGACAACTTTCTCTGCCGAGCCAAGGTCTGGACGGTCGGACTTCTGGAGGTCTTCGGATATCCACTCTGTCGAGCATTCGGCCTTGGGGTCAATGCCCTCCTCCACTGTTGCGTTTCCACCTTCGGTCTCGGGCGCGGGGAATGCGGTGCCTCGGACGGTGATAACCTTGGTGCTGTCCGACGATTGGACTGTCATGATGGCGTTACCAGCGTAGATTGGGCGGACAAATGCTATGATTTGGTCAGCACCTCTTGGTAAACAATACAGGATGCTCACTCACTGTCTTCACCCTTAATGTCGGTAATGTCTGATATTTGCTGTGTATCCAACAGCGCCGAGACACGTGGCATTATGTTCTTTCCAAATGCTGAGTGACCGGCAACGACGTGTGTGTATCCACCCTTCTTGATGTTTTCAACCAGGAGTGGCGCATAGTTCTCAGGAAGACACTGCAAGATGCTGTCAGCCCTAGGACACTCAATGTCGCTTTGGACAACCGACCCTGTCATATGCTCCATTCTCAACGTAGATAACCTTCTCTACACCCTTTGACTTGGCTGCCTCATCTGCGGCCGACTTGACCCCACTTCCAGCGATGAAGGCTGTTATTGAGCCTCCGAGTTTTGTTCCTGCCGTGATGGCGGCCAATGACTGTGATACAATCTTTCCCTCCTTTTGCTCGAGAATGGCGAATGTTGACGCGAACCGTGCGAAGGCCGAGTATTGGGGTACGACGGTGGGTTGCGACTGCCGAAGCTGTGTTCGCGCTGTGCGAAGGGCGGACTGACGTGCGGCGGCGAACATGGTGGGCGAGAATAGTGCAACGCCACTAGAATCGAACAAGACGCAGAGTTCGAAAAAAGGTGAGGTAGAATGCCTCGTCCAAGAGTGGTGAAAGTAGCCCAAACGGCGCGGAGAACTATGACCTCGGTTTGACCAGGTTAGTTATCCGGCACTAGCCCTTGCATGCGGAGCTGCAGATTGGTCACGTGAAAAGGCTGCTTGCTCCTTAGTGCTCTTTTTGCTTAGGCGTTCGAGAGCATCGCGAACTTCAGACGCGACATCCACCCACCCATCGCAGCCGCCCATCCCCACCTTCATTCAACAACGACCACGCTGCAACACGTTGATCACGACACGTTGCGGTCGCGCACTCTTTCTCATCACCGGCGCCCCGCGATTTCCCCTTTGCAGTGCCGCATAGCGCCTTCCAGCTCTTGTCGCATCGCAACTGTTGCATAGCACTGCCTAAGCCATGGCCGACGACGCGACAGCAGGCGCAACTGCGCGGGACCCAAGCCTTACTGGAGAGGGTGCTACAGACGTCAATGCGCTCGATCAAGGTAGGTCAAATCCCCATTCCAAGCACCACGATGCCAATCCCCAGTCGCGTCAACAACATGGACGGCTGGCTCAACGGCGATTATCTCGCTGCCATTCCTGATGTCCCTGCATTGGAAGACTCGATGCGAACACCCGACACCCCGGATTCCGGAGATATCAGCCAACTAACTTCCATAGATACCAACATGCTCGAAGACGCACCCGCCAAGGAGTCTTCCAACGAACCCGCAACTGCTACGCCAGCACAAGTATCAGACAATCCCTTAGACGCACCTGATGGCCCACGACCGGAAGCCGAAGACGCCGATGGCCAGGACGACGAGGAGATGGGTGGTGTCGAAGATGCCAAAAAGGAGAATGGCGAGGGCGCTGAACCTGCGGATCCAGAAGCACAAGCAAAGGCCGACCTACAGTCGGCGGCACGCTCACACTTCGTCACCCAGACATATGCGACCATCATCCCCAGCTACGCAACCTGGTTCGACATGCGCTACATTGACTACCGTGAGCGCAAAGCCTTACCCGAGTTCTTCAACGGCCGCAACCGCAGCAAGACGCCTGCCGTATACCGCGATTATCGTGATTTTATGATCAACACATACCGCCTAAACCCGTCCGAATACCTCACAGTAACTGCGTGCCGAAGGAATCTGGCAGGTGACGTTTGTGCCATCATGCGCGTACATGCTTTCCTCGAGCAGTGGGGATTGATCAACTACCAAGTAAACCTTGCCGCTCTAGCATCACTCTGAAGTCACGGTTAACATTCTCTCTAGGTCGACCCTCAAGAACGCCCATCAAACATTGGCCCACCTTTCACCGGCCATTTCCGTGTCACCGTTGACACACCTCGCGGACTGCAACCTTTCCAACCTGGTCCAGGCTCCAAAGTTACAGACGGAAAGCAGCTCACAGCCACCGACCGCGCCGCGAGTGCGCAGCCCACCGCAAAAAGCGAGACCAAGTCTCTGGCTGGACGAAACATCTACGAAGCCAATGGCAAAGAGGCTTCCGCAGAGCCAAAGACCGCTAACGGTGAAGGTGCTGCGAATGGCCCCGTCGACGTCAAGGACCTCGAAGCTGCTGCCAAGGAGCCAATGAAGGTCATCAACTGCTTCAGCTGTGGTGTCGAATGTACCCGTGTACACTTCCACGAGACGAAACCTTCTGAGCAACCTGGACAAATGAAGGCCGCAGGTGGTCTGAAGCGCGATCTCTGCCCCAGGTGTTTCGTTGAAGGCAACTTCCCATCTGGTACGTCTTCGGCAGACTTCACAAAGATCTCCAACCCGGACAACTCGGCAGCGGCCGAGACAGAAGAGAAGTGGACGGAAGAGGAGACTCTTCTGCTACTTGAGGGCCTAGAGGAATTCGATGATGACTGGAACCGTGTTGCCGACCACGTCCAGACGAAAACCCGCGAGCAGTGCGTGATGAAGTTTCTGCAGCTCGAAATTGAGGACAAGTACATTGAGGCGGATCTACCAGAGTCACAGTCCGCAGCCCCTTCAACCAAATTCCTGCGCGATTTGGATTACCTCAGCGAAGGTCGTGTACCCATCCACCATGCCGACAACCCAATTCTCAGCGTTGTCAGTTTCTTGGCTGGTCTTGCACCTGCAAACGTCACAGAGGCAGCTGTAGCGTCAGAGCGTAGCGTTGGCGAAATGAGGCGCATCCTGCAAGAGAAGATTAACAAAGCCCCAACTGCACCATCCGAGAAGGGCAAGGAGAAGGAAGGCGAGCAGTCTACACCCGCAGCAACTGCTTCAGACATGAAGCCAGAAAGTGGCGATGCCATGGATGTAGACCCTTCCGCCGATTCGACCGCTGTAGCCACCAGAGAATCAGACTCGTCAAACGCCAACCCCCTGGCGACCCTCCCCTTCGCTCTTTCTGCCGCCCGTTCCTCAGCACTAGCATCGCACGAAGAACGCCACATCACTCGCCTCGTCTCAGGTGCAGTCAACCTTCAACTCCAAAAGCTTCAGCTCAAACTCGCACACTTCAACGACTTTGAGAAACTACTTTCCGCCGAGCGTCGTGACCTGCAACGCCGTCGCCAGCAACTCTTCATGGACCGCCTCAACTTCCAGAGGAGAGTCCGCGCATTGGAAGATGCTACCAAGCGCATCAGCAGCTCCATGGGTGGCCAGGGTCTGCCTGGTAGCATGAGCAACGAAGAAGCTGTTCAAGCCCTGACTGAAGCTATGAGGATGTTTGGCGTTGGCAAGGGCGAGGATAGCATGGGTGTCAAGCGCGATAGCGTGGATGCTGATGTTGCTCAACCTATTGCTGAGGGTGCCGAGGGCTACAGCAAGGTGGAGATTTAGAAGCATCTCAGCGCGGACGATGTGTATGAGACGAGTGTCTATGATTCAAAGTCTGGGTGTGCATATGAGATGCTTCCGTACTATCGACAAGGAAGAAAGGACGAAGATGTCGTTGATAAGGGGGAAGACGATTGGGGCAAGTCAGAGGCATACAAGCGTCAGGACAGTATGACGCCTCAACTTGGGATTGACGCTTGTTGGGTTCGTTGGAAGGTGTTTTCTGGCGTATAAACGAGTGAGTGCCTGCAAAGAGTCATGCTACATGGCCTGATATGTTGAACCTTCCTGTTTTTCTTTTGGCAGACTCCGAGTCCTGCTGTATAGTAGTTTCTATTATCAAAGACGATGCAAATTATTCTCCAAGCCCACAGAACCCATGGTATGAAAGTGCTTGAGTGTATGATGAGAACTATATATACTATACATGAGTTTTCCTAGTCGTCAGTAGCAGGTAACGTAAGCCTCTTCCTCTCCAAACATGCTGTACAGGTAGTATAATACAATGCCATCGCTTTCATATCACGTCTCCATCCACACATACCCTACAAGTACCCTACTTCCTCTCTAACTTTTCTGTTCCCTTCGCATTCTCGTCATGCCTAGCCTTGGGTACCATGCTCTCACTCTCACTGACAGGTTCTTGGCTCTTGACCTGGTTCTTTGCCTTGTTCGCCCTCTCGGTATCGCTGTCACCCTTTGGCCTTTGCTTGCTCTTCTCCTTCTCCTTTTCGCTGTCTAGGCTGCTCATGTCTCCCCTTGCGTCATAGATTGGGTTGTGCTTGACATTTGGCTTATATTCCTCAGGGACTAGGTTGTTCTCATGTGGGGTGTGAGGCTTCGAGCTACGCTCACTAGAAAAGTCGCCCTTGGCTGAGGCGGCATGATCGTCGGCGGCAGGTTGTGATCTGGAGTCGGACTGCGTGTTGGAAGAGAAGGTGTCCGATGGCGGGGCAGAAGTAGGCGAAGAGCGGGGTTGTTGTGTTTCCGTGGAGGCTGTCATGTCATCTTCCTCGTCGGCATCAGAGTCTAGCTCTGAACCGTAAACTTCAGGGTATTCGCGGAAGCAGTTTTGCATGTCCCTATGATGCGTAAGTCATTCATCCCATAGTAATTCTCGCAAGCTGTCGAGGCTCCACTGTCATGATGTGGACTTACTTGAACTTGTCGATGCAGTCCATGCCCTTGGGCTCTTCGGTAGAGTACACAAAGCAGCTGAAGGCTGCCTTGAATTGCTCACCACAAGGCCCATGAGCCATACCGCCCAAACATGGGCAATCCCAATTGATCTCGCCTGTCTCTGGGTTGAATGCGCCTTGTTGATCTGCCTCCTCTTCGAGCCCCTCTATGCCGCCCTGGCCATCCTCTGAAGGCTTAGCATTCTGTTGTGCATTCGCAGCCTCCTTCTGCTTTTGAGCGTCTAGTTGTGCCTGTACCGCTTGTCTCCGCTTGCGCTCTTCGGAGATAGATTCGATGGTTGGGAGGTGTTCGGATTCGACTTCGGTCTCTGGGAGGGCTTGAGCAAGTTCTGAAGGCAGGATTAGTTTCTTTCGTCCGGCTACACCGTCCACCGAGGTCCAAACATACGTCTTGGCTCTTCCGCGAAAACATCTGTGGTATTGTAATAGTATATTATTGCTCCCGCAATACCGACTCTCGCAACCAGACTCTTGAAACTTCTCGACTTTTGTGATGGTGGAGCGGTGCTGAGGTACCGTCTGGCCGGCGCGGCTGACCGTAGTGGCGCGATCCGCAGCGCTGGACGCGCAATTAACCGTGGGGCTGCACGAAACATGATGCCGAAGGACGTGAAACAGAAAGAAGATGTTAGGAGAGAGTCGTGGCGGATGTCAACGGTCCATGCAAGTGTCGTCACTACGGAAAAGTTATGGGACCTGCATTTCTAAGCGGAAGGAGCAGGGATCTGCGTGGCTGGAGATCCCGGATCACGTGGAAGAACTTTGAAGAATTCTGGTCATCTCGAATACGTTTGCCATGATGCTTGGAATCTGCTCGTGTGTTGCACTCTGCCGACATACTGGGGAACATGTGCTTTCAAGGTAGTGTAATCAATATGATGTTCGAACGGGTATATTGAACGTTGACCTCATATATACAAAAGTGGACTGATGGAAGCGTCTCGCCTCAAGACCGAAACCGAGTTGAGAACCTCTTGCTTGCTGTATGGTACCGCGAGAAAGCAAAAGTAACATAGCCAAATTGGTACAGTCCAGATGATCAAGATCTCAGTACGAATTTGTTGTATGAAAACGCTATTGAAGTGAAGTGCGAATCTGAAAAAGACGATCGAATGATGTCTATTTCGGGGGGTTGCGCTTGAAGAAGTATCTGTTAAAATGATTAGCACGAAAATCCGTATAGCGGTTCTCTTGAGAGTAACATACTGGCTGACATAGTAGTCGCCAACACCAAATAGTCCAATGACAGCAGCCCATGCTGCGACGACCTTGCCGGTCAACTCGCCGCGAACATACTGCCTGTATGCGCCGAATCCAACAATGCCACCAACGACGGCCAGACCGACCGCATTGCTCAGCACAACCGGGTTATCGGCGTTTTTCTTCACCTTCTCCTTCGCGGCATCCTTCTTTGCAGCAGCCCGTTCTTTGACGTTCTTGACTTCTTCCTTGATTTCCTCTTCGCGTTCGATGCGCTCAGCCTGAGTGTCGGTCTTGATTTCTTGCGACTCGTAGTCGGAGGGAACGGAAGAGATGTGCGGGCTGTCTACGTCGACAAGGGAGTGGACGCTATCATCAGAGGCGTGCTCGACCTGGGGTTGAGCTGGGGCGCGACTGTGAGTACATGTTAGAACGACTTTACAGCTCAATGCCTTGAAGCTCATTGCTCGTGTTTTGAAGACCGTGGGGTACCACGGCATGCTGCGAACTATCCTAAGCAGTCGCCGTCGCAGAGAAACGACTTCAAGAAGATGAAAGGTATGACTTACGCCTGTCTTTGAGTGAGCATTGACCCAGGTTATGCAGTGCTCTTGACAGACTTACCTCCTCGGGGCTCTGCTTGGGGCCCTTGGCAGCCATCTCTGCGTAAGACATGATGTATGGAGGGGGTAGTAGTTCTGTAAGGGGCAAGGGTTGTGTCGTGAAGAGGCCGAGTGCGTGGTTTGCAGATCAGTCGAGGAGTACCGGGAAACTATGGGAAGTTGATGAGCGATCGTGTGAGACCGGAAACAGGCTCCCTCACATGCTTGTTCGCTTAGTGGGCGGTAACCGACGACGTCATCCTGAGCGCGTTAGCGGCGACGTAGCGAAACCGCCAAGCACAGGAACAGCACATCCTTGTGGAGCATGTGAATGATCACAAAGTCTAGGTCCCGGCCCGCATGCGTGCTGAAACTATCATCTCAACTATTCATTATATACTGCAGCCTACGCTCAATTGACCAAGCAGAAAAGGCCCAAGGGTATAATAACAATTTCCATCATTGCCCTCAATATACACCTCACGGCCCTTGATACAGACAGGATCCAAAACTGTGCAGGTTCGTATGGTACACGAAGACAAGGACAAAGCAACTCTTGGAGATCGGGCCCGTAACGCCCGCTGTAGATACACATGCTGAAAATGGAAACGATATAACAGAAGGATAAGACGTCTTCAACTACCATGACAGTGTCTTATGAGCAAATTGCTCATCTCATTCATCGCCAAACACTGTCTTGTAGTTCTCCAGTAGAGCTTGTACGGCGACGCGCTGCTGTTGCACATCGGTGAGTTCGCGCTGGATGTCCATGGGCCGCATGATGGTTGGCGCGAAGACGACGGCGACATTGAGTGGTGTCATCTGTCAAGTGTTAGTCATCACGCATTTGGAACGCACACTGTGTATACATACCAAGTTGTCGCTGGCGTGTTGTATGACGCGCGACAAGTGGAACACAAGGAACTGTAGTGTATCACGGTGAGCCTTGGGGATCTCGTTCACAGCAGCAGACAAAGCTTTGGCTTGGGCATTCGGCTCCTCAAGTTCTGTAGATCCATTAGCGCTTGCTTTATCTTTCAAGGGCATGTACTTACGGCCCGCTTCCAGGAACTGATCGTAAACGTCATACGTGATCAACGGCACAGGAAGCCTGCGGAAGTAGTTCTTCAGCGCAGAAGTGACTGAATGAATGTCCAAATCAGGGTCTGAGATATCGTGCTCGGTGTCCGTCTCGAAACCACTACGGACTTGGTTCACCTGAGAAGTTCCTCCACTCTTACGATAGATGCCTTCCACATCCATACCGCGGAGCTCGACCTCTTCGATGCATCGACTGACAATGCGTGGAATCATCTGCCGTTCAAACTCACAACGTGCAGTCAGATCAGATCCGAAAAGCACGGTACTGGCGTCGGCAGCAGCCAGGTTAGCAGTACTGGTGTTGTTATTCTGCATGGGCCTGAAGCCAGCTTGGGGTGGTCCGCCTGGTCGAACGTTTCCGGGCTTTCCACCGAACCAGCCGCGCGGAGTTCCTTGGTCCATAGTATCTCGACTCTTGATGGAACTAGACATGGACATGGATGCGATGTCAGGCCCGGAGTGCACGGATCCATACGGTGTACCAATGACCTTGACGTTGTAGTCCTCCTGCTTCTGCTCTGAACCGAACGCGCCTTTGAAGCCCTTGGTGACGTTCTTTGTAATGGCCTGCCCACCCTTCTTCCATGTTGAAAACTTGGTAGGCTTTCCAGTCTTCCTGATGTTGACAACCTGCGGCTGAGCGACTGTCGCCTCAGTATCGTCATGGAGATTGGCATAAGAGTGCTCATGGGGTATTGGCTGTGTATCTACTGATACTTCTGACTTGCCGCCCTTTTGCTGCGCGTTGTATATGCCTAGGCCATTCGCAGCCACGTCAAGGTTCTGCCCAGGCTTCTTGTTGTTCTTGAGATTTGTCTGTATGTTGTCCACCAGATCCCTATTCATTGCGGAGAGTCTGGCATTAGCAGCCGTAAGCGATTCGTACTCCTGGAAACCTTTGTCTTTCATCTGTATGAGATTCGAGATCTCTTCTGTCAAATCCGACCTTTTCGTAATGAGGTCTTCTATTTGATTCCCCAGATTATCTTTCAGTTTCTGCAGCGAGCCTGCAAACTCTTTAAGAATGTCTGACTTGAGTTGGTTGATCTCAATGTTGCCCTGATTGCTCTTGGCTTTCTTGAGATGTTCAGTCATGATCTCTAATTCGCGAATCACCATCTCGCGTTGCGTATCCAAGACTGCCATTGTGTTTCGCTTCTCTCTCAGAACCGTGTTCGCTTGTTTGATGTCGGCTGCGCTGTGCATCGATTCTTGTAGCCCATTCTTTTCAGCTTCGAGCTCTGCGATCCGCTGCTGAGCGCGGCGCAGCTCGTTTCGCAGATTGACGCCTTCTTCTTTGGTATCCGGCGAGGCAACTGTGGGGCTGCTAATGTCGATCGAGCCGTTCGTAGGCCATTTCTTGTGACCTCGCGATGTGACAGAGCCACGGTCACTGAAACTGCGTCCATGCTTAGAGACAGCGTTCGAAACCCTCCTGAAGACTCCGGTCTCTTTATCATCTCTGCCATCTTGGCTTCCAAGCAAGCGCGCGAAGTCCTCGTCCATGGAGAAATCGCCCTGGTGGCTATACCGGGGAAGGCCACCAGCACCGTATGCTTCTCGAGATGCTTCGCTTTGGGCACTACTGATGGATTCATTTGTCTTATGGTGTTGTACGGTGGGCGGTTGTGGGGGTGCGCGTGGAGATGTGAATGTGTCAGTCGAAGGTTGTGCAGGACGCCCACCTGAACGCGCGGGAAGCGCAGGCGGATCTAATGGAGTTTTAGAGGATGGCGAATCCGCAGGACTGAGTATACCAAGCCCCGCGTTGAGATTCGCACTTGCTGTGTTTGTGGATGATGTTCGCTCGGGATGGTTGAGGGTAGGCGTGGTGGGTGACGGACTAGGTCTTTCGTTTCGCGAAATGGGAGCTGATGGCTTCAGAGCCGAGGATTTGAGCGAATCGCCACGCGCAGGTCGTTCTACTACAAGGTTGGATCCGAACGACGATTCCGAGGTTTGCGGTGAGTCCTGCGAGCCAAGTGGTGGAGAAGATGTGAATGTAGGTTCAATCAGCGGGCGGCTCAGCCGCGCAGACATGGTGTCGTTCTTGGAGGAAGTAGGCAACTGCATTCGTTCCTGGGGCTGTGGTGACGGTGTTTCGTCAGAGTCCTTGCGTTTGGCCTCGGCCTTCTTATTCTTTGGGACATCCTGTAGCTTGAAGGGCTCCGCAGCTGAAGGAGCGGGAGAAGCGTGCTGACTTCTCGACCGGGGCTCAGCTGAAGGCGATTCGTTAGAGCTGTCCTTCTTCTTCCTGAGCGTCTCGACCAGTGTGTCTGAAGGCTGTCTTCCTTTTTCCTGGAAAGCGATGTGCGGGCTCTGGGTGGTTTGTGTTTGGCGTCTCTCTTTGGAGGCTTCTCGGGAGCTGTTTTCCTTCAATTTCTCGCGATGATCGCCGGTAGGCCTGCTGAAGTAATCGCGGCCGTTCTTAGTGGCGCCATTTCCACTGGACTTAGCTCCTAATGCTTGGTCGTTGAAGCGGCTAATGGGTCGGCCAAGTGGTGACGGGCCTGGCGCAGGGTTGGGGTCCAGAGCAAAAGGTAGAAGGATACCGTCGTCGCCATTGTCTACAAGTTCCGAACGCGTATTGTTGTCTTTGTTGTATGTTGTTGCGGGGAGCGTTGTGTTATCTGTGAGTGAAAGTGTCAGCTAGGCATAGAAATTGGCGTAAGCCAGATGATGTCTACGTACCCCTTCGTGAAATGTCTCCAATTGGCGAGGCATCTCGCCTAAAGTTGGATGATGAGTCGCCCCGTCGTGGCTGAGGGGGTCTGGGAGATACGTCGGTCGTGGTGGGTTCCGAAAAGACATCGGATGGCGTGTCGAGGTCTGGGGTAAAGGTGGAGGTCGCCTGCTCCTGGGGAGGCAGAGCAGGCAAGGATTTATCTACCTTGGGTGCGACTGAGGGTGGCTTTTTAGATTTCTTGCGCCGTCGAGCCATGAGCGACTCATGACAGGACATGCAGAAGATACCCTGTGAAGTGCGGGCATAACGCAGATTCTCAATCTTGCGCTTGCAATTCCGGCACCTGAAGCAGTTGGCACAGAAGGCCTGGTCGCCGGTCAAGATGGCCAGATCCTCGATTTTGTTCCCGCAATGGTTGCAGCTGTATGTGCAGTTGTTGCATATCAGAGAGCCGTCGCCGAGCAGCAACAGGTTCGCATCCGAGTCGAGGAGGGTGCCGCACGTGTTGCAGCGGAAGCAGTCGATATGCCATCGGTTTCCGGCTGGGCAATGTTAGCATACGACATGCTCGGAAGGTGGTCTGGGGGGAGTGGTGGTGGGAGGAAGGCGCGAGGGTGGAGGTGGTCCCGGCGGGGAATACATACCGAGTTCAAAGGCCTTGCCTTCCTCGAGGATCTAGACTGCTATGAGCGGATGAAGAGAGACTCGCGGGGCGGCTGGTCATACCTCTCCGCATCCCTTGCACGGATATACGACCTCGTCCTCGATCGGAGACTCTGGGTAGGCCCCGGGACTCTCCATGATGTGCTAGCAATGTATGTGTCGGTGAAGGAACAATGGTGGCGGGCAGCGCGAGTGCTGCCGCGTGGTTGTCGCCGGGCTTGTGCAGGAGCTGAAGGGACAATTCGCAGACGGGCAGCGTCGTGGACGTCGTGGTTCCGCAGGTCGTCTGGGCGATCCCAAAAGTTCGCTCCACGGTACCAGGCGAGAGAAAGGTCGAGAGTGGAAACGGCGCAAAAGCAAAGTCAACAGCCGGAAGGAGCGTCGGTGCACTGGCGAACGGCTTCTGTGCGCGACGAGGGCTAGTTAGTCGACGAGACAGCTGCACCTCACAGGCGTCGGTCCCCTCAGGCGTGTGGTGGTGTGGAGGTGAATAGCCAATGGGCGGGTTAGTGCGCTTTCAGGGTCCTGAGAAAGATACGCGGCAGACGAATCCATGCGACAAGGGACCACATGCGATATCAAGTGAAGGCCTATATCAGCCTCTGCGAGATTTGGCCCTGCCTCCCATGGACTGCTAATTCAGTGATTACTTGCAGGCCGTGGTTGAGGCGCTTAGCAGGTGCCGCACTTGGGAACACGACTATGGAATTCCAAACACGTCCCAAGGCGAAGACGCAAAGTGGTCAGCTTTCGAGACCGGGCTGCGACTCCAGCTCCACCACGCTATTACGACTTGCGCAAAGGCCCTGCCAAGCACACGCCATCGCAGATCGTGGGCGCCTTGCTCGACAACGGCCCGGTAATCACTTTTGCTGCGCCTATAATTTATAAATGCGACAGTCTTGCTCGGTCTGGATTCATCTCTGCCCTCTGGCAGTACGTAGCATGGAGCCTGTCTGGCGGTGTGGCGTGGCATATACTTGAACCTTCCATCTCTCTGACCACCTTCGACAAGGCGACATGACGGTCAGCATCACGAGCCTGATTAATAACACCAATTCTCTCCGCACTAATCAAAGAACCGCTCGACAGTCTTCCGAGCTGCCCAGAATAGCTGACGCAATCTGAGGCCTTTCCCCTGGCGCGCCTCCTTCAGCGTCGATATGTCCGTCATCTGCGCTGCACACATGTCTAGCATTAGATCATGCAGGAACGCGGCCGCTTTGGTGGCCTACCACTAACATCAACCACTTGATGCCTGACAAACATGTGCACACCCGACAGTGTCGACCGCGTGTTTCAGCATCGAATGTCGGGTGAGCGCACCTGCCTAACGGAAAGTACTGGCGACCTCGAGAGATTAAGGACGCGTTCATTCCCCGCAAAACACCCGTGTCTCTATTTCGAACAGCCCCGACGTCCAGGACGCTAACAAGGTCCTGTCAAACCATCAGACCCAAATGCTGTTCATCGCACCACGCCGTCAAGGCCCCGTCTCTTGGAGTCTTCGGCATCCGCACACAACCATGATCCTCACATGCAGTCCATGTCTGCGTGGCCAGCCCCCATCATTTTGTACGCGTCGGAAAAATACTTACCAATCGGCACTTTGCTCATTCCCTCGGTATCCCTCTGCCACGATCCTGAAACAAACGGGAATAACAAGGCGTACACAGACGCGTTTCATCGAGCCGAACGGTCCCTGCTGATCTGCCCGCCGCCTCAAGAGTCAGCGCCCAAACGCGATTCGCGCTCTCCAAAATACCAACACCTCCCCTTCCCATACGGCATACCGTCAGACAGCAACAAGTGCCACGTACCACATAACCCAAGACAGTCGCCGCACGTCTGTCTCAGCTGCACTTGCCGCGACACCGAGGTTCTCCTGGACATCTGTCGTCATCGTACCTGACAGCCTGACATTCGGATGTCTTTATCGCTCTCTGCCGTCCGCCACCACGTTTGATCAGCATCCCAAGATGCTGGCATTCAGCATCCGCCATGCCTCTATCCTGACTCGAACTCGGTCGTCGCCGTCCATGTCAACCTTATCTGCTGGCCGGATCTCGATCAACCTTATTGAGTCAAGCAGAGTACCTTACCTTTGGTACGCGATTAAGTTTGCCAGCCCGTATGAGGACATGGGCAACCAAATGACTGGATTCTTTCCCTTCGAAACCTGTTAAGTGAAAAGTCTACCGGGTGTCTTCAACTACATTCGACGCCTCCTATCAGTGTGAGTCTCTGGTCACGTAGCAAACATTCATCTGGATGCTCCCATGCAGTGTTGAAATTGGAAGTTTTGTGTTAAACCATTGGCATTTCTTCAATCATCAGAAGTTGCCACCATAGTGCAACATTGGATCTACCATACAGTTGTAGCAGTAACGCGTCATTATGTCGCTTCTCGGAGAAGGTTGCAATGCCAAGTTAGCTCGCCTAGCGCAGCTTTCACGCTAACACGCAAGAACAACAACACTGGCAGTATTAACCGGATCTATCGTCAAATCACGCTGGGAGTTGTGGTCACCGCATCTGTTGCACGAGCATGTGTGCTCTTCGATTTTCCCGCGTTGTGTGGGTCGGTCCTTCTTGCTGTTGATCTATTGCTCAGAGATGCGTCCGAACCTAGGCTACTAATGCAGGACCCTGTCACCAAATACTGTTTACACTAATCAGATACTCCGCGGCGCTGAACTCGTGGATCCAGACGCGGTACGATATAGTGGGTCTTCCTGTATTCGAGCAATTCATACGCAGATAGCTACAGCTACCCCACCTCAACGGATGACTGAGGATACTCATGGCCGGGACGGCGGGGTACCTTGGGATATTTAAACCTCTCGATCAATCTGCCTCTCGTTGTTTCTTTTTCCTTACAACAGTCTAACTGTCTTTGCGAAGTTGAATTCAATCAGTATCCGTACTCATCCACTACTTCAACATCTGAGACCAATGGCTGACGGTGATACAGATACTCCTACCAAGTATGGCAACCACGATGCCGAACATGTTCCGCACGTGGGCGTTGTCCTCAAGTCATCTAGGTACTTTTACAGCTAAGTATACTGCATGAACCGGTGTTCGTTTCTAGCAGTGTTTATCTTCCAGACTGTTGTGGTTACTCTACTTCAGTGTGGTGGATTGACACTGCTGGATTCGTTCTGAGATTATACGGTTTCGAACTTGATCAGGATAATACCTGCGAAAAGGATCATGCTCTGCGCTGTCTCTCCCTATATGGAACAGACTTAACAGTTCGCAGGTGTCGACCCTTGAACATATTTCGACATGTCTCCTCCCGCCGCCATTTACGAAACCCCCGTTGCTAGCAACGACATGGGTACCAAGAAGGACCTTGCTGTCAAAGCTGCAGCCAACAGCCAGGCCAAAACTGTCGCTGAGCTGGAGAACAATTGGGAGAAGTTCACATTTGCTCCCATTCGCGAATCGCAGGTGTCTCGTGCAATGACCCGCCGTTACTTTAACGATCTTGACACCTACGCCGAGTCGGACATCGTCATCGTCGGTGCCGGTTCATGTGGTCTGTCTGCTGCGTTCACGCTTGCCACCAAGCGCCCCGATCTGAAGATCGCTATTGTTGAGGCTGGCGTTGCTCCTGGTGGTGGCGCCTGGCTCGGTGGTCAGCTCTTCAGCGCCATGGTCATGCGCAAGCCTGCTGAGCTTTTCTTGAATGAGATCGGCGTGCCGTACGAGGACGAGGGTGACTTTGTCGTCGTAAAGCACGCAGCACTCTTCACGTCGACCCTATTGTCCAAGGTGTTGCAATTCCCCAACGTCAAGCTGTTCAACGCCACAGCTGTTGAGGACCTCATTACTCGCCCAGCTCCTACCTCGAGCGACCCCAACGCAGTCCGCATCGCTGGTGTTGTCACCAACTGGACTCTCGTTTCCATGCATCACGATGGTACGTTGTAGCATTTACTTTTTTCGGCTTTTACTAATTCTTCATAGACCAGTCTTGCATGGACCCAAACACCATCAATGCACCGCTCGTCATCTCGACCACTGGCCATGACGGCCCATTCGGTGCTTTCTCCGTTAAGCGCCTCGTGTCCATGCAGCAGATTGAGAAGCTCGGTGGGATGCGTGGCCTTGACATGCGCACCGCCGAAGATGCCATCGTCAAGCGCACTCGTGAGATTGTGCCTGGTCTGATTGTTGGCGGCATGGAACTCAGTGAGGTTGATGGCGCGAATCGCATGGGACCTACCTTTGGTGCCATGGCTCTCAGCGGTGTCAAGGCTGCTGAGGAGGCTGTCGGTGTCTGGGACGAGAGGAACGCTCAGAACAAGGAGTCTTGAATGTCACGATGCGCTTCAATGGACAAAGAGAATGCATCTGTCATTACCTATGCTCGATACCGACCAATAGCTCACAATGAAATCACTCATTCGCTCAAAATATTTGTTTTTGTTTTTCACACTCGGCTCTTTTCGAAACGTTGTTCCCCTAATGCAGCCTGCGCATCCGGCGTAATGGCCTATCACTTCCAGTTGCCACGGCCCCGCTTGAGTGATTTACTGTGGTGTTGCTGTCTTGGTCACTGACGTGGCAAGGGAGGAAGTCTCAGTCAGGTCATGTCCTCTGCAATTCGACGTGAAGAGTAAAGCAGACTCGAAAGCAGCCCCACGTCATGACCAGCTGTTCGCATCGTCTCTAGAAGCTTCGTAGGAGGGTGGATCGTTCAGCGCGCCTGGGGTAAGCGGCAGTGCGGCGAGGTGTAAGCGCACGGACGGTTGCTCGGCGACCTAGCGTGAACCCAGGGCAGTTGCGTCCCATAAACATTGCAGGTCACAACAAACCCCGCTTCCAACATCGCAGAATCTTTTTGAAAACAGGGCCAATTTGCGCCCAAGATGGAGAAAGAGACGTCGGATCTGCTCAAGGCACTCCAGAAACCGTCGACCGATGTCCAGTCTCGACTTGCCCTATTCAGCACGCTGAAATCGAGCATCAAGCACAACCGGGTCCCTGAAAGCTGTCAGGCTCCCATCTTCGAATGCATCCGCATCGCCTGTACTGCCGCCACCTCGGCCGCCCTCGTGTCCACGGGCTTCTCGACACTGAGCCACTTTATCAAGCGTCTGCAACTCCAGAAAGAAACGTCGATTCTTACGTCACAGTCCCCGATACTATGTTCCATTCTCGCCGACAAGTTGGGCGATGCGCGCGAAAGCCATCGCAGTGCCGCCTCACAGATTCTGGCTGATCTGCACTATCTATGCCCTACAGAAATCGATGAGCTGATGCACGATGCTGCAAAGAGCACCAATCCTCGCGCCAAAGAATCTGCCATGCTGTGGGTGGTCAAGGTCCGTACCCCCCGTGGCGCATCGGGAAGGAGAGAAAATGTTCTAACGCTTTGGTAATAACAGATGAACAAGACCGAAGGCCTCCCTTTCAAGAGCTACTCCAACCAATTCGTGGCAAACCTCGAAGACGCGGACGCCGGCGTGCGCGACACCGCGAAGAAGGCGGTGGTGGATCTCTTTGGGTATGTCAATTGACTGGCATGCTGCGCCATGGTAGCGACTGACATCACAATAGACACGCACCAGAACACGCGAAAGCGAACCTCAAGAAGCAACTTATCGCCCTAAACGTCCGGAAAGCCATTGCTAGCTACATCACAACCCACCTCGACGACGACGCCATGTCTAAAGGTACAGATGTCGCGCCCGCGCAACCGCCCGTTCCCATCTCCAGGCCTATCCCAACTAAACGCGCCGAGACAATACAACCTGATGCTGGTTTTACAGATAGCTTTGCGGGCGAGCAGCCTCCTCCAGTTGAAGTTGTAGTCATGGACCCCATACACATCTACACACAGCGCGAGCTGGACGATGTTTTCCGCGACATGGCGCCTTGCTACGAAGGAAAAGAGAGTGAGGGAAATTGGCTCGCCAGAGACAAGAACTGCACCAAGTTGAGGCGCATTTTGAAGGGCAACGCACCTCATGAGTTCCACGCTACTTTCATCGCAGGCATCAAGTCGCTTCTAGACGGTATCCTTAAGGTTGCCAACTCCCTCCGAACGACCATGTCCACCAACGGCTGCCTGCTGGTTCAGGAGCTCGCGAAAACACTCGGTTCTGCCATCGATCCCTGGGTTGAAATCCTCCTGCAATCATTCGTCAAGATGTGCGGTGCCACGAAGAACATTGCAGCGCAAAACGGAGCCGTCACCGTAGATACCATATTCCAGAGCGTATCGTACAACAGTCGCGTATTGCAGCATGTAGCCATGGCCTCACAAGACAAGAACGTACAACCACGAACCCACTCGGCAACTTGGGCGAAGACTTTGATCAAGCGACACACTTCGCACATTGAACACTCAGGAGGCTTGGAGACATTGGATACTTTGATCCGCAGAGGCGTCACTGACGCTAACCCCAAGGTGCGCGAGGCATACCGAAGCGCCTATTGGACCTACGCTTTGGTATGGCCTCAAAGGGCCGAGAAGTGAGCTTGACCATAGAGAAGCATTGATACAGAAGCCACTAACACAATTCCTAGGATGTTCGATACGCTTGACAAACGAGAGAAAACCGCACTCGAGAGAGATCCGAACAACCCGAATGGCGGCGCCGTCTCGTCGTCAACCAGCACAGCTTCGTTTTCGAAATCAATAGGTCCCGGTGCTTCGCGTAACGCCTTGAAGGAGAAGATTGCTGAACAGAGGAGAGCCAAACTAGCGGCTGCGAAAGGTGTCCCTGAGCGTCCCAACTCTGCTGCTGCCAGTTACTCACCAGTGCCAACATCACAATCAGCCAAGTCGTTAGGTGCGAGAACAACATCGAACCTTTCCACGGCTTCCTCAGGTCCGGCGCGACCACCCTCGGCAATGTCTGGAGAGTCAACGAAATCAGCACTCAAGAACTCTACGGGCACCGGGTCATTGATGTCGGGCACCGTTCGTCGTCCTGTCCGACGACCAGAATTGAATAGACCAGCGACAGCCGATCCCTACGCTGTTAGACGGCCTGGAAAAGTAACGCCCTCTATGACCCCGGAAAAGACGCCTGCTGCACCAACGGCTAAGAAGCCTGCTGTGCCAAAGAATAATGCAAGACCACGAGCGCAAACGCAGAACAGCCCAAATGTCAGCCCGGCGCGTCCGAAGTCAAGAATTGGTCAACCCATTGCCCATGGCAAATCCCCCAGCATGAGCTCTCGTCGCGAGAGCCCTGCTGTAAGCCCGGCCAAAGAAGAAGATTTGACAATGGTAAAGCCTTGGGTCCGATCGCAAAGCCACCATGATGGTGGTACCATCCCATTCCGAGCAAGAAACGGTCTGGGTGGAAGCGTATCCGTAGACGATGAAGCTGTGGATGTAGGAGACGAGGACAACTTTACTATGGTCATTCCTAATCTTGCGCGACCAACAACACAATCTACACACGACACGCCTCCGAAGCCGAGAAAGTCAATCGGTCGATTGCCGATACCCAGCCCTCGTGCAGCAGCGCTAAGGAGTCCGAAATCTATGGGTCACTTGGAGAGCGCTAGCTTGCGCTCTTCAACGCGTAGCCCACGTATAAGGTCTCCAGATCGACCAAGCACTCGTGGTACCGATGTCGGAGATGAAGTTCAAGTGTTTGAGGATCCCTTCGTTGGCGAGGAACACACAACTATTGAGAATGGGCCAGAGAAGCAGGTCCTTGAAGAGCTTCCCATCAACGAGAAGGCCAACGAGCGCCGCCAAAGCACCGGAAGCATGTCAAGTGATATCATGATGGGTAATGGGAACGAAGAGCGCCCACGCGGTCACCACAAAACGAATAGTACAGGAAGCGTCTTGCACACAGAGAGCTACGACACGAACAACGCTGAAGTGCTTAAGAACCGACAGCTACTTGCAAGTGGCATTAAGAAGATTGAGGGACGCACGGTTGAGGCTCACATGTTCCGACGCATGCAGGACATGGTCAAGTCAAACCAAGAAATCTGGGGGCCGAATGACGAGAACTTTGGCAGACTTTTACTGGCATGCCTCGATTTCCTCGAGGCCCCAGTTCACGAATTGAAGGCACCCCAGATGAAGGCTGTCAACCTCAAGGTACAGGCTCTAGCAACGATTCGCGCGTTGCTTTCTCTTTATCGCAAAGAAACTGCAAGATACTACTCTCGAGTACTTCGTACCATCCTGCAGACAAAGGCGCAGTACGAAAACACATCGCATATCGCCATTGACCTTGAGGCAACTGCAGACGAGATCGTCAAGTACGGCCAGACTCTGGATTGCCTTAATACTGTCCTCGCAATGATTGAGGACACACCTGCATCGACCCCAACGTCTTCGCCGAACTCCAAGTCTTCGATCTCTTCTCAGCCTGGCCAAGTGTCGACCCGCTCTACGACCATGGCGTTGAGCACACTTGCATCCCTCGTCGAGATGAGCGGCGCTAAGAACATTGCACTATCACCTGAGCAGACTGCGCGTCTAGGCAGATTAGCCGTACGCTGTATGGATGACCAGGACGCCGATGTGCGTAAAGCAGACATTGAGTTTTGTGTCGCACTGCACGAGCGCATAAACGGATCAGACGGCGCGAAGGAAGACGGAGGTTTCTGGAAAGCCGTTGCTGGTGCGAGAGAACAACACTTGAACTTGTTGACATACTACCTTGCGAAGAAGGGCAAGGCCTAGATGGCTGTCCTTCCGTTGCGACCGAAAGGCTTGGATTGATAAATGTGCATGGCTTCGACAGAGGACTGGGATGTCACATTGGAACTGGTAGTTAGGGATTCGCGTTCTCCTTTGTCACTTGGTCTGACGTTTAGTCATCTTCAGGGTGGTTTATTGGGCGTTTTGAGAAAAGCGGGATCGCTCCGGTAGTCACTTTCTCGATTGTCTCACTTTCTTAGCCTTACTTTCTGTGACACTAGGGTTCTAGGGAATAGTAGTTGAACATGTAATTCTATGATTATTTCTTCTTGAAGATATATCCTCTGTCTCGACGGTCTCAAGAACCGATCGTGTGATTTTTGAGCACTAACTCTCCTACCTGGTGCAGCGCCAAGGTAGTGTAAGCATCTTGACAGAAATTTCAATAGTAAGATACAGGATTTTATGAAATACTCTATGAGAACACGCATGATCTTTTTTTTCTCTTTAAACAGTGGAAAGTGATATTCGTGTCGGCACAGGCTGCTCTACATCTGTCCCGCAAGGCGCATGGGTGGGGGGCTGGCTAGCGCACCCGCGCGCGCTTCCAACGCGTTTTTGAGCTCTGTGACACGTCACAACTCTTCCCATTTTCAGACTTTGGTATCACGCATATAAAACACTTTGGCGTTGTATTTACTCTCACCCTGAAAACATCATCGGAATTCTTATCGTTATGATGATCCACTGTGGCGGCCAGACGTTGCAGATTCGGAATCGCTTCATTTCTGAACTCAGGTGTGAATAGACTGAGAAGCACTCGACATTGTTGTCTGGTTGAGATGGGCATCTTTCATCATGTGGGTCTCATGCTGCACATAAGCCCCGGTGACACTGACATCGTTCTCAGGACGGTACCTCTCTAAGCTTTCCAACGGTGCGTACTTCTCACACAGATATAGCATATCGTTATAGGCTCTACATGCCGTTAGATGAAATGGAGGGCCATTTTGGGATGAACACTTACGTGGCTCTTGAAATACTGCCTGGGTGACCCGCGGAGTCATTCAAGTATGGGTGCAGGCTGTAAAGTCGGTTCCGGTCATCCCACTCCTCTACAGGTTCGGAAGGTTCGATATGCCGCTGATACAGTCGCATATATACTGGGGAGTTGAAATGGTAAGCCCAAGAAGCCCTCCAGGTGCCGAACTCCATCTCGTTATGGGCATATGTGGACCCTGGATCGAATAAAATCGTATCGCCAGTCTCCATATCAATCCCGACATTCTGTTCCCACAGATCGCCGTGAATCAGTGCCGGCTCGATGCTTCTGCCATCCGATTGTAGGGCACCCAGGAGTTTTGGAATAACTTTGGCGATGAGTTGTGCGCATGCAAGGTCGTACTCTGGCCATAGACCATTTACCTCGTTATCATATTTGATAACGTCTTTGAGCTGATTTGCGAAGCACACTGCCCAGCTCTTTTCCCATGTTGTTGTACGTTCGAACTTGCCCAGCACTGTTGAGACAGGGAATCCGAACATACCAGTCGGTGATTTCCCCTTGGCGTGCAGTTCGGCGATTCTCTCAACGAAGCTTACAGGTTCTGGCGCCGCCGATAGATCCATATCGTGGTAGTCTCCGAGAAAGAAATGAATCTGGGTATCGCCATCGCGATACTCTCCCCAACCTGTCGCTTGAGGCACAAGACCTGGTACTATCTCGTTAATGGCGCATGCAGATTGGTACTCGCCTTCGGTGAGAGGTTTGGCGCCCTGGCCAGCAGCGCACTATTGGACACGATATCACATCAGCAGGTGTCAATGATAATTCATCGACCAAAGCCGCACCTTAAGGAAGTAACTCTTTGAGCTTTGGTTTGGAAGTATGACGGCGATTTTCGCTGTCTTTGTCCAGGCAGAAACACCGCAAGGCTCTGCCGACACAACTTTGGTACCGACAGGCATAACTACATGCTAGCGCTTAATGTCTGGAGTCTAAGACTATGCTTGTAAGCTTACGTACCTTGAGTCACGGTCCGGTGGAGGCGAAACGTCCCTCCTATCTCGGTTTCCCACTCCGATTGATCCATCGTGGTAAAAACAACTGACAGGCAAGCACCTACGTACGGTGAATCTGGACATGCAAAGACGGATTTATCTTAATGTAAACACTGCAAGCGCTTGCCATTGCTTGTGCATAGCTTACGTGCTAACTCGGTGGCACAGCAAGAGCTTTGTGTTCTTCGTCTGTAACTTGATTCGTAGATTAGCAGCGTAATACAGATAGGCTTGCCCCTTGCTTCCATCGCTGGCAATAAGAGGGCCTACAAGGCAGCCACACACTTTTTTTTTCGATATAGAAAGTGCAATAAACAGCTTCATTATACAAACACCAGTCTCGTCCACTATTTGATGCTGAAAACCGTTGCTTAGGCTGAAAGCTACTTCCCAAGTCGCATTGTAGGTCCCTCTTGTTTCTCTCGTCTGCCTTCATCTGCATCACAGATATCCCTTCCACCTCACCGACTCGATAGCCTTCTTCAGTATCGTCCCAATCACCCATGACTCTGCCACACCCAAGATTCCCACTGAGAACGCCGTTTCCACCGCCCCCATACCCTCCCAGCCTTTCTTCCCAAATAGACATTGTAAATCAAGGACTACAGGACCATGAACCATAAAAGCCGCGTAACTATACACACTCAGGTCCACCTTCCCTACACTCCAGCGTTTCCCTAAGAAAGACATGCGTGCGTTATAAAAGGCCTTCAAGATCAATGAAGCGATGAAAAAGCCAGCGAATTCGTTAAACAACGCATAAAGTAGGGCGAGCATATTTGGGCCACCGAAAACCAGGGGCATGATTTGAGAGGATGACATGCCGGTACGAGTCAGGTATTGGATGTGGAAGAGACCAATAGAGGTTATGAGGGCGGTGCTTGTACCAATTACCCTTAAGGTAGATGGAGAGATGAACCCTTGGAGTGAACGTCCAGAGCGATGTATGTAGATCCCAGTAGTGTAGTAGAGTACGTATTGTGATGCATAAGCCAGCTGGAGGGATATTGGCCAAAGGGGTCGACCTACGGGATAGTAGAGTCGAATGACGAAGGAGGATATTGATGTCAAGGTGACTGCAGCTAGCACGTGGGTCGTACGAAAGGTGTGTGGTTCCTTGGTTGAGTTGGTAGTGTTTGCCGTAGGTGAGGCTACGTTGATGTTGACAACATCGGACGGTGCTTTAAAGATCGCTTTCTGACTTGGCGACTTATCTGCAAAATGGCTCGGTAGTAGTCCAGCATACAACCCATCAAAGATAAGGAGTAACGCACAGTACCACACCGGCCCCGAAACACCCCGAACAATCTTCAAGCCCTCCAAGACCTCTCTACCAATGTTGACCCAGTCCTCATCTTTCAACCTCCACGCTAGAATCCCTCTAGCAGCCCCCTTCACGATCAGACTAAACATCAGCGTCGGAACACCTAGTCTCTTCCACTTTTCTTTAAGAAACTGATGCCTAGTCTTCTTTCTCGCTGCGATTGATGAGAAGTACGCTGAGATGAGAAAGAAAGTGGCCATGAAGAAAGTCTGGTTGATGACGTTGAAAGTGAGGAGAATGGGAGAGCTGTTCGGCATATATAGAGGCGAGGTATATGGCCATGGACCTGCGCCGCCATAGGGGGTCGAAGAGTGGTGGAGGATAACCAGCGCTGTGAGGCATGTGCGGAGATTGTCTAGAGCGTGCGTACGTTGGTTGGCCATTCCGGAACAGGTTTCGGAAACAAGTAAAGCACTAATGTGATTATACCTGAGAACATGGCGAATGCTGCCTCTTATGTCTTGCTGTATTACGAGTGTATGGTTGTTGTTTTAGTGACAGGTGTAAGCAGCGGAATATACACGCGTGTGAAAAGTGGGGCTGTTGCCTTGCCGTATGAGACGGAATAAACCAAACGGAATAATCTTGCGGATTGATGATAGACTCCTCGCATAAAGACGATTACTGGTTGTAAGCCTTCTGCAATCAAGCAAAATAACCATTCATCTCCATTGCGACTACTAACCGCTCCATGGAGTTCTCTTCAACGGTGCCTCTTCCTTTCCCGTAACCTTGCTTGCCTGTTAAGCCCCGGCACACACTCAAAAATACTCTTATCTTTCCCCTAAGCTTCGCGTAAAGAGCTTCGACGCTTTCCCCACCCTGTTGCGTATTTGAATTCTGCATCTTGGCGAAGAGGAGTATGTGGTCAAAAATCTCTTCCACGAGAGCCATGATCTTGCGTTGTCGTCTGCGGAGCAACAGCGCAAATAGTATACTGTCTAGGCATTTGTCATGGGTATCGCGCAGAGAAGCGACGCCTTCCGTGACACGAACCCCTAGTTCCCCCGCGAGGTCTTCCTCGTGTAATCGGGTCTCCACTGTTCGAACAAAATTGTCAAAGTCGTCCCACGGCTCTGTGATACCTGTCTGGAAGACGTAGTTTGTGAGCGTTATAACAAAATGATATGCCTCGGTCCTGAATTGACGAGCGTTGCTGTCTGCATACCTGCGTGGCAAATGTGAGACGACAAAGAGCATGCGCAGAAGTCGCAACAAGAATTTGAAGATGTAGTCGTACTTTTCCAGAGAAGTACTTGTGATCACCAAGTTCAGAGGAGCTGGTGCTACGTATTGCAAACGTAAAAAGTCAAGCGCGTGTAACGCGTCAGGGTCCATGACTTTCTCTTGTTCGGCTTCAGTGAGGTTGCGGATGGCAAAATTGAGCTGCCCAGGAAGCTCATCGTTGTCCCTGTTATTGAGAAGCGTCGTAGGTGCGACGATCGCTTCAGCGCCTAGCGTTGACTGATAGAGCGTGGAAGAATAGTAACTTTCACTGAGGACGCCTCGTAATGCTAATCGGAGCTCTGAGCTCGCTGGTGGCCACGACGTTCGTGAACCTAGTTGTAATCCCATGTGTACTCCGCTACGCATCCTGCCTTTGTGACGTTCGGCACTCTCACGGTCAGGGTCAAACAAGGCAGTTGCCAGTAGAGACGAGAATACACCATCGCCAAGAAGGTGATACTGTCGTTGAAGAGATAAGTGAAGCCGCAGCTGATGTGAACGGAAGAACAACCGGATAGTGGCTGCGTTAACGAGTTTTGCTTGCGCTGTGATGAGTGGACGAAATGATAGAGTAGACGCCAGAGACATGGGCGGCGAGAAGGTGTTGGTGGCAACCCCGCCATCTTCGTCTGCATTCTGAAGTGTCCTCTCCATAAGAAGTTGCAGCTCATCTGGTAGCGCTTGAGAGGACCACTTGGGAGCTTCATCCATACGTTGAATAGATTCCTCGAAGTATCGATCCAGGGACTGGGAGTTGTTTGGAGCTTCTGTCGCAGATTCTAGTGCAGATGGTGTCAAGAGAGAAGGTGCCATATCAGTCGAACCTGTACTAAAAGCGAGAAGTGCTTGTCTGAGCCTCTCTTCGTATGCTTTTGCTTTGGATGCCAGTATCTCAATGTCTTGCCATTGAAAGCCCCACTCCATGTCCGGAGGCTGAACTGCCAGCCCATCCAGGCGAGCCAGCGGATGATCTGGATGTTGTGACTTCAAGAAACGAAGACTATGGCCTGTCTCAAATATTGTGTTGCCGTCTTCTGGAGAAATGAATCTTGGCATCATCTCAGATCTGTAAGTGTAGTCAAGTGTGAGAGCATCAACAGACGTGTCTTCAACAGTTACAAAGCTGCCGCGCTGCCAGATAGGTACAGACGCTTGCTCTTTCCTTATGCCCATCCATTCACTGAGAAGCTCCAAGCTTGGTCTAGCTACCTGGCTAAGCACCTGACACGATAGCTGACGAAGCTGTTCGTCTCCTTCTTCTAGCTCAAGTAGACGGTGGTGTAGTATGGATGACAGTTGCTCGTTGGTTTTGGCATGTTTGACCGCGTCTACCATGCGAGCGACGTGTATGAGAACGTTGCGAGGTCTAGCAAACTGGTGCTGAAGCTGCATGAGTGAGCGGATCTTGGTAAACTGCTTTCCTAGGGTGTCTTCTAGACTTGCTAGGATGCTCGAGACTGAAGTGGCAAGAGCAACCTTTGCAGGAATAGACGTGGCTGAGGCAAAGGTCCGTTCTGCGAAAGACCGCAGATAGAGGAACGTGTTGCCGGTATGTGTAAAGTGGGTGATCAAGCTCTGAGCTGCTTGCAGACTCAGTCCCGAGGCTCGTCCATGCAGTATGGCGGGTTGAAAGGTCTTCAGCTTTGCGTTGAACTGGAAGAGAATGGATGAGCGGCCCAGACCAAGATTCCAGAGTGACTGTAAGAGTACATCCCCCTTGAGTACGCGTCCAGCACTGGTTTTGCCCTCGTCGCGTATTAACGTTGCATCAAAAGCCTCAGGCCCCTGCTCGGTCATGTATGGTGTTCGGCTTTGGACATGACTTTTCTTCTCAAAAGACTCCCACGTGTAGAACAAAACATCTTTGTTCGCAGGCCCCAGGTCAAGTGCGATTTTCCAGACGTCTTCCTCGGGCTCTAACGGTGGTGTATCGATGGAAATGCTGGAGTCGTCAAAACTATCGAGCTCTGGCAGAGGTCCGAACTCGAACGTGTCGAGATCGGGTAGTCGAAGTTCGCGTTCGAGGTCATGTTTTGGTGCATACGGATGGTCGAATCTAATTGAGGAGACTGTGGCTGGTCAGCGACGCGTTCACATGTTCATGTTGAAAAGACGCGACAACCCACTGTCTAGCTCCAAGGGAGCAAAGAGTGACGATTCGTGCGAATCGGCATCGTCAAAAAAGGAGGGCTGCTGCCATAAGCGATCGGTACTGAAGACATTGTGAATCGAATCGCGCGCATCCATGGCAGTGGATGTTGAGTAGTGGACAGTGAGGGGTATGACGCGCCATAGTTTTGGCGATTCAGCCCTACGCGCGACCCTTGCAGCTTGCACCTTCCGTCACTGTACCCGCAACTTCGCGACTTCGCGTTTCTTTACCTCTAAATCCCTTTTTTCTCCCGCACCAACCATCAACATTCTCCCAAAATGCCGCCCCGGAAGAAAGCAAAAGCGAGTGCAGCTTCAACACCGCTGCGCGACACACAGCCCAGAACACCGCAAGATTCTGGCGTCGTGCAGTCGCAAGATGAGCTGCTTAGCGATCCTTGGGCTGATGAGCAGGAGACACAGCTGCTGAAGAGCATGATGAAGTGGAAGCCAACAGGTACAGCCCAATACACGCTATTCACCAATCACCCATTGACGTCACAGGCATGCACAAGCACTTCCGCATGATATCCATTCACACCGACATGCGCTCGCACGGTTTTGCTAGCGACGACGCACCTCATACGCGCATTCCCGGTGTGTGGAAGAAGCTATCGCAACTATACGACTTGGACGCCCTCGATACACGTGAAAACGAGTTCGCTTTCTCCGAAGACCCTGATCCCCTCGACCCCGAAGACGCGAGCAACATGCCCGAATTCGAATTGCCAGAAGACGAATACGGCGAGTTGATGTGGCAGCAGCGTTTCCATCGCGAGTCCTCTACCACGGCCTCGTCGCCACCCATGATACCTACTCAAGAATACAGGGACCTCTACGCGCCAGGCATCGGTCTACTCAAAGACCTGCCCGATAGCGTACGTTCGCAAAAAGCCGAGAGCGTAGCTGAAGCCACGCCCGTACCCAAGAACGTAAAAGGCACAAGGGCAGGCAGGGCGGCAAAGAGTGCCAAGGGAACCAAGGCTGGAGCTAACGCTGCGAAGAACAGTAAGGCTCAGAGCACCGTGTCCGAGTCCGCAGAAGAAGAAGACGAGGACGAGGACGAAGAAGAATCTAGTGCCGAGTCTGAAGAAGACAGTGCGCCTACCACTCGCCGAACGAATCGCGCCAAACCAAAACCTGCGCCCAAGAGAACTAGGAAAAGGTAATCAACGGAAACCCCGACTCGACCACAGCCAGCCATGGATGGACCACGACAGGAAATGCTCGACCAAGTCTTCCACTACATATGGGGGGAAGAGAAACCTCTCACAGAGCGACCCGAGAACCTTTCGGATACCTCCGTCCGTACGGTACTCAGTTGCCGGCTCGTCGCGCGTCGCTGATCTAGGTCTCGTTGCCCTTGGAACGTATGGTAGCTAGGGTCCTGGCCGGGACGAGCTCGACAGGAAGAATCCAGTAACACAATATTTTGTGCACTTGCTGCACAAATCCAATTAGACAAAGCACTCTCAGGTTTATCCTATTCAACCAAAGTGCCTTGATGGTACCTGGTTTGAATGGGAACTATCAGACTTGGGCCGCGCCTCACTTGAGACTTTCTTCCAAGGAGGGCTAGAACACCAAAGATGCGGATATCCAGCGCTCGATGAAGGCGAGTATTCTTGGCAGTGTGTTCAGATGGAGAGCGAATGGACTTTCCCCAAGATCACGGAGCCATTTGCGGAATCTCATGTCTGGTTGGAGAGTTTTGGAAGTCTGTTGCTTAGTAACAGCGCGTCGTATTGCGCGATCTCAGGCGAGAGGATAGTCGCGATACCAACTGGCGCCTTCCGCGTGATTTGTTTGAGTGCTTCTCTCCATAACATCTGAAGCGTGTCGCTATCACCAATACCTGCCACCCAGGCGGACTGTTCTTGAACTATACCGGTCTTAAAGCACTGGTAAATCTTCAAGATATGGATGGTAGACTCTCGAAGAGCCCAAAAGAAACGAGCTACGGACGCGGTCATCCTGGTTTTGCTATTTTCGAGCAAACGGAAGAAGATGATTTATTGGGGGTATGCCCTAGCAAGCATGCGGAGAAGCTCGTATCTGCTAGTTTGCACACTCAACACGGCAAAATTAGTGTCTTCAGGAGCATGAGCTGTTCACTTTTCTTCACAAGTGGCTAGCTGGTACAAATTCAAAGAGACGGGCGCATCTGTCCATCTACTAGATAGACATAGTTCCTTGAGATCTTGAGAACTATGTAGCCAGTATAATTGTGTATTGTTCAATGATGTTCGATGTCCCCAATCATGATGGTCCAAATCCATATTCATTACAAGAGTGAAAGAATCCCTGGCCGCGGCGACAAAACCGTTGGAGCATATCCAGTAGCAGCTACTTTCGCAGCTGCAGTCCCTGCCCTTCTTCCAAAAACTGCTCCAGAGGTCAATCCACTGCCTCCAGGGTAGTTGCCATAGAACAACCCGCCAAGCATCTCACCAACACAAAACAACCCTGCAACCTCCCTATCAGAGTTTGAAACGACGGCAGTGGTCTTCGGGTTCACAGCCAGTCCACCAAAGGTAAAGGTGACACCACAGCATACTTTGACTGCCATGAATGGGCCTTGATCGAGTGGTAATGCCCAGTTCGACTTCGCTAGTACCAGCTTCTTTTCGGATGACTGCGTAGTGAGACCGTCCTTTATCGCTGGATCCCATTTCCTGTCAGGATTTTCGATCTGCGATGCATACACAGCTTCGTTGTATTGCTTCACTGTCTCAACGAACTGATCTGGAGCGTTCAACCCCGAGTCTTTAGCTAGATTCTTTGCCAGTTCTTCGAGTGTGGCACCCCAAACCTTTTGCACTCGTTCATCCCTGTACTCTTCATCGCGTAACCACGGGATCGTGCGCTGATCCCAGACTTGGTATGCCACACTGGCTGGCTGCTCATGTATAGCGCGTCCAAATTTGGCATACGTGTAATTACGCATGTCGACACCTTCATCGACAAAGCGCACTCCGTTCGTGTTGACCATTAGACCGAGAGGGTAGCCGGATTTTGTGAACTCGTTCGACACTTCACGGTCGCCACTGTTGGCGGGAGCATTGGCGTCCCAACAAGTAGAATGGCATCCAGACCAATTACCCGCTTGCCTGGCATTGACGTCCCGGATAGCAAATTCAAGAGCCTCGCCAGTGTTGAACGGGGTACCACGAACGCGTGCAAGATCCCAATTTGGCCCGAGATATTGTGAACGCATACGTGGGTTTGCTTCGAAGCCTCCTGCAGAGAGAACGACAGCCTTCGCACTGACAAGTGTGTCTCCGCCCGAATGTTCTACTATCACACCCGTAACAGCACCAGTTGATGAAGTGACGATGCTTTTAGCAGGCGTAGAATAATAGACTTCAACCCCGTATCTTCGAGCTGAAGCCTGATGGTCCGCAATTAGACCCTTTCCTCCATCCTGAGTCATAAGTGCCATGCCACCCCAAAACTTGTACCTCCCATCGACCTTGTAAGCCTGACGATTGAACGATAGTTGGTATCTGATCCCATTCTTCGCAAGCCACTTTACAGCTTCGTTAGACTCTTCGATCAGCACCTTACTCAACTCTGGATCTGAACGCCCTAAACACACACGCTCCATATCTTTCTGAAAGTCTTCTTTTGTATAAGGCTCCATATCGATGAGTTTTTCTGTTTCTGCATCTACGTTGTTGACGATGGGCAGGAGGTCGCTTGTACCGTCGTGCACAGTCCGGAACGCGCCCGCCGTGAAGTAGCTGTTGCCTCCTGCCCATTCTTCAGGAGCCTTTTCGATGAGGACAACTCGACGGGCTCCTGACTCTGCAGCGGCAGTGGCGGCAGAGAAACCTGCATTGCCACCACCAATCACCAAGACGTCGATGTTCGGGGATGATGTGAGTTTGGCCATTATCGTCGTTGTTCAGGTGTGAAGCGGTGTAGGGCGATGTGACTGTTCCCCCAAGTCTAGCTGGGTTTATATCTTTGCGCAGGTTGGGACTAAGCGGAATGGAATGTGGTGAGGACCGATGTGCAGCCGATATGCGCGGTCCCCATCTTGCTATTCATCAACGGTTGTAGGGCGGGAATAAGAGCGGGTTGATCACTATCACTTTCGCTACTTAAGTACGCACGAGAACCTAATACTTCCTGAACTCTACATATACCAGTCGTTATAGACACAATCGTACTTTTCTATGTTGAGATAGCACCAAAACAAAAGACGGTGTACCTCGAAGCAAGTATTTAGGACTTCCAGTGTAGTGTACCTAAGACTTAGAATACTGCTTATATTTCGCGACAAGCTCTCTAATCTCTGGGACCTTTCGATTGGAACACAGAAGCATGGAATAAACAATTGAAGTTTGAAACCCAGGTATGTTGAATGACGCGTTTTTGGTAAAGGTGCAACCCAGCAATCTTGATGCTGTGCTTCTAAGGTTGACCACGTCAGACCCACAAAAACATCCGCTTCTATCCGCCAGCAGCCCCGATTGGTCAATCGCTCGTCCCCGACGCTACACTACGCCCTACAAGCCCAGTATGGATGTATGCGCCGAGCCATTCCAGAGAAACAGTCACCGTTCAACATTGAGTCACGTCTCAAATGTGTATATAGTCGTGGGTGTCTCACGCAGCTTTTCATGTTCCAGATAACATCGTCTACACAGTCTGAGTCATGACGTCAAGCTCAAAGAATGGCGCATCTGCCGCCCTGGAAATCAAGACAAAAGATGGTGTCAAGTTTGGAAAGGAGTTGAGGGAGAAGGAGTTCTTGTTTGGGAACGGATTCTTGAATTTAAACCATGGTACGTTAACATGTCTTATCTCATCCCATAGTAAGAGGTATCCATTCGCCGAACCAGTGTTCATGGGTGCTCCCTTATCATGATGTCGATACCTTTACTCCAAAACAATCTCCCTCCAAGTCTGGTGTACACGAGGACTGACGACTATCAGGCTCTTTCGGAACATTCCCTTGCATAGTTCGCGATGCCATGCGCACTTTCCAAGACGAATGTGAAGCTCAACCAGATCCTTTCATCATATACAAATATCCCCAATACCTTGATCTGGCTCGAGAAGGCATGGCTAAGGTAAGCCGATTCTCTCTGCTTTGGAAACGTATTACTTTGTCTCAGGCGGTCGCCTAAGACACCTCTAGTCCAGACGTATCACTGAATCGACCGATCTTACTAAAATATTGTAGCTGCTTAACACGCCTTCTTCAACGCTGGTGTTTGTTCCTAATGCCACGACCGGTATTAATACAGTTCTTCGCAACATTGAATTTCAACCCGGCGATCATATTCTTATCTTCAGCACCATTTATGGAGCTTGCGAGAAGACTGTGTCACTCATCACGGAGACTACTCCTGCAGAAAGTGTCAAAATCGGGTACACATTCCCCGTTGAAGACGACTGGCTACTTGAGGAATTCGAAAAGAAGGTCAAAGAAGTAGAGAACAAGGGCGGAAAGGTAAAAATCGCAGTCTTCGATACAGTAGTCAGTATGCCTGGGGTCAGGATGCCATTCGAGCGCTTGACGCAGAAGTGTAAAGAGCTCGGAGTCATGAGTTGCATCGACGGGGCTCACGGAGTTGGGCATGTCGAGATCGATCTAGGAACATTAGACCCAGACTTCTTCGTGAGCAATTGCCATAAGTCCGTCTCGCCTCTCTTCTTCATCTTTGCAAACCCACTGACCGTACGTAGGTGGCTACACGTTCCCCGCGGCTGTGCAATCTTCCACGTCGCAGACCGGAACCAAGGTATTATACGCAGTACCCTTCCGACTTCTCACGGCTTCATACCGAAGGGCGAAAAGCCTGTCTCTCCCTTCCCAAAGCGGACTTTCGCCCAGTCTCACGCCCAGCCGGGCATCGAACAAAACTCCTCTGAACAATCAGCTTTCACCAAGTCAGCGTTCGTTGATATGGAGAAGCCCGCCTTTGTTGCCAACTTCGAGTTTGTGGGCACCATTGACAACAGCCCGTACTTGTGTGTACCCACAGCCCTAAAGTGGCGAGAGAGTATCGGAGGTGAGGATGTTATCAGGAACTACTGTCAAACCCTCGTTCGCCAAGCTGCCCAACATGTTGCGCAGGTCCTCGGCACCGAGGTCATGGAAAATAGCACTGGTACACTCGGACGGTGCTGCTTGTCCAACGTGCGCCTACCGATTTCGCTCCCTAAAGTTCAAGATGTCGCGACCAAGCATGGAATTGATAAAGAAGATGTTGGCATCATGGTGAGGGACTGGATGAAAAAGCTAAGTTGCGAAGAGTACAGCACTTTCATCATGATCTACTGGTACGGTGGTGTTTGGTGGACGAGGTTGAGCGGCCAAGTGTATCTGGAGATGAAGGACTTTGAGTGGGCTGCCGAAACGCTCAAGGACATGTGTGCGAGGGCTGAAAAGGGAGAGTGGGCTGTTCCAAAGACCAAACTTTAGGCCGTAAGATGGTGTTCCGTGAAGAAAAATAGATGTAGTTTTGAGGGAAGATCATATTGCTACGGCGAACAATTTACCAGTATCCGATAAGTATTCGGCAGATAAAACGCCATCAATCATCCCAATTCACTTCCTGGTATCATGATTCTCTGAATTGCACGACTTTCTAGGTCTCACAGATAAAAATGGCGCGCACCGAGAGAGCCGAAATATCATGTTCGAGTCCGTTACTTACAAGGCGTAACGCGACTTCTCACGGCATTTGTCGAATACACCGCCGCAGTCCTTGCACTGATTATACCAAGTCAGTCAAATTCAATCTAACAACTCGTAGTGCTATTCGAAGACTTACCTCATGGCCTTGGGAGCGGTACACATGGCAAACATGCTCAACACAGGTCTGCTTGCAACCAGTCTGTCCTTCAGTATGACCGTTCTGCACGCTCGTCAGTATGCATCACACCCCATATTCAAGCTCTTTGTCCTCTTACTTTGATACAGAAGTCGAAACGTTCGAAGCAGAAGTCGCAGTTCGCATCACGAGCTACGAGTTTTTCGCCTTCATTCGTAGTGGACACAGTAGATGCTGTGATGGCGGCGGCAAGTGCAAAGAATACGGTGATGGCCTTCATGATATCCAAGTTTTTGATATTGTTGAGAGCGCTTCGGAGGTGTGCAAAAACGAGTGTTTGTCGAGAGTATATTTCTGATGGAGTAGCGATGTGAGAGGGCGCTGGCGATCAAGATGCTTGATCCAGTAAGTAGAGTGTAAGAGAAAAGAAATATTGTTGCGCACGAAGAGTGTTAGAGAAGTGTCAAAGGCGGTTGCGGCGATTGACGAGTGGGTTTGGGAGATTGAAGAGTCGAAGAGGCACTCATTCGCCTGGTGAAGGCGCTTTACCTGGGTACACCGGATCTGAGTGTGTGCGCGTGTTCACTACGCAAACGCTACTGTTGGCTGCCTTGAAGAGAGACTTGCATCGATTTCCCGTCTTAATTGGATGTGGCTCTGATCCTCATACCCAATGTATGGAATGCGTATGGTTGTAACGGACGCAAATAGCAAAGTGTAAAGACTGGGGTCGGATGTCTGTGGACAAAATGATTCGATGGCAACAAATATCAGAGTACAGCCACTTCACTACAGCAAGTCAGCCCTTTTCGAGTTCCATATAATTCATACAAGAGAAAATTCTCGCGGCCACCAAGCGTCGTATCCCAAGACACTTACAGCGTTGTTAAAAGCCACTGCTGTCTCGAGCCAGTCAGCTGTCTAAGCATGATGGGACCTGCCAAAATCGAAAGAGTTCTCAATTAGGCTGGGTTGCAAGACTGGGAGTAAGGAGAAGAAAGTCTTCAATCCGGTGTGAGCTAGTGGCAAGCTCTGCTGATTCAGACGGAAGCGCGTGCGTATTCTGTATCACCCGACTAACGGTTGCAACCGTGAGATCGATGGTGATTGGAAGAAAGAGAATTGGAGAATACGGGCAGAGCGAGAGACAAAAAGCTCCTTCGATAATACTGAGTTTTCCTTTGTTTTACTTGCTAGATATGCTTTTCTATCGCACCGCCGAGAACAGATATGACTTCATCACCGGGATGTTGCAGGAAAGATTGTGGAAGGAGCTGGCTCCATCACCACCAGAATTATGTACAAGATGTAAAAGGGAAGGGGTATAGCAGCGAACGTAATCTTCGTAGTAGTTCAAACCTTTGATGCTAGCTCTTGGTAATAGTAGGACGAATGAAAGCACCAAAAATAGGTATTAGATGGTGCGAACACCACGTGCCTGTTCAGCTCGCACACGCCTCCTGTACTGGTCACGGTACTGAATGCGACCGTATGTTCCAAACCCGACGGCTAGGAAGAAGAAGAGGGCCCATACTGATGTGACGACAAGACCGATCGGGAAGAAAGCCAATGCGGTTCCAGGGATGACAAACGGTGCAGCCGAAGAAACGGCAGCGGATGCGGATGCTGCTGCTTGGGGGTCTGCATTGGTGGGAGCGGTGCCTGCCTTAGAGAAGATGCCATTAACGAAGGATGCCTCCTGGGAAGAGAGGGTAGTTTCGACGTCTTGACCAGTAGCGGGGTTTCGCGCAGCGAGGTCGATTTGTGGGATGAGAAGGGGCTGTAGGGATTCTCTGCAAATATGTTAGTTCCGAAGCATGTTGAGAGAAGACGACTACTTACTGGGTCATGGCTGAGCCCATCAAGTTCTCATTGATCCGCCCAACATACATGAGGACCTTCAACTCCGTCATAGTGTTGATGTCCTGCCTCTCGACTAGCATACCATCACTGACCGGCCAGTTGAGGTCGCGCTTCGTGAAGTTGCCTTGCATGTTCTGCACAGTCGCGCCAAGGTACGAGAGTGTCATACTGACATCGGCTGCGGTTACGCCAACCCACGGGTTGATGGGAGCTGATACATTATACATTCGGAGCTCCGCCTGAAAGACACCCGTCTTGTTGTCGAGGAAGGGTAGGTTGTAGCATACAGCAATTCCGCTCGGGTTCGATGCTTGGCCGTTGAGGTTGCTCAGCGTACTCATACATGCTTGCTTTGTCTGTTCCTCCCACTTCGCCTGATCCACACCCGACGCATCGCCAGTCGCGGGTGTGAGCGATGCTAGTGGCGCTGTGTCTGCCGCGTTGGCGTCTTGTCTTTGTGTAAGGGTTGCCATGAGTTCTGCATCCCGTCGAAGTACCTCCTCCACGTCCTGGCCTGGTTGAAGAAGGGCGTTCACTTGAGGGCCCTTGAAAGCAGTTGCGTGTCCAGCAGCAAGCAGAGCGCCTACAAGAGCGTTCTTGAAAAACATGGTCGAAGTAGTATTAGTCGACACCGTGATATTAAAGTCGATAGTGCGAAGGTGGCCGTGCTGCCCAGCAGCTTACTAGAAAAAGAGTGGCGAACGAAGAAAGAACGACGATGGAAAAGTCAATCACTGCTCAAAAGAAACGGGCATTAGAAGTGTCATTAGCAGAAGCGAATTAGAAAAGTCGGACACGAGAGCATGAAGAAACGCGGTGTGCGAATCACGGCTATGGGTGGATCGGACGAGGCAAGCTCGCAAATGGCGTGACTCAGGTCGGGCACCAGACTCGAAAAGCAGCACCAAGACTGGCTTGAAGCTCCATAACAGAGTTGAGACGGGTTCTGCTTGAGGCTGTGACGGGTGGCACCAGACATTTCTATGCGTTGATCCTGGGGCGACTAAGGACAAGCTTAATTTAGCATAGTTGAGCCGCATTCAGTGGGAGCCAACCAAGCTCTGGCCTGGAGATCGAACCGTTCGGGAGTGGAGACGCACTGGGCATGACGATGCTCGGCCCCTTGAGACAATTGGTGTTGAGGTCTGGAGTCAAGCAACCATGCTAAAACTAGGGGCGCTTCACATGTGCGCTAGTCTCGCACGTGACACTAATCTCCGAGCCAATGAGCGTTGCTCGTGCCGTCTTTCCCGGCTTTTTGGTTTCACCCTCAAGCCGCCTAGAAGTCGATGTCCTTAGTTTTCCATTGCACCAGCCTCTACTGCGATATGTGCGTATATGGGGTTTCTCTCCGGTGTGGCTTCCGGCGCTTGCCTCCTCAGAAACAAGCCATGTTGACACAAGTAGCGGCCGCTGTCACCCCCTAATGGGCATGTCCGCCCATCAGAGTTATCGTGATATGCTCACTGGAGGGATACCTACAGCAATTCATCGCAATACACATTCGTAGCTCGCCTCGGCCAGCCAAAAGCTAAGAGCTAATCGTTCTAACTTGTCTCGCTGTGACTGTCCCGCCTTCTGGGAGCACATGCTTCTGCCCACCGATACAGGACTTTGACCTTTGCATCTGGCTTGTATGTGCGATGTAAATGTGGTGCGCAAAATCTCCGTAGCTGTAAGGAGGGATAAGTACATGGCCTGCTATTAGCAGTCGACAGCGCTATGAATCTAATTTAGTAGAGGACATATGTTAGAAGTTACTGGTAGTTAAGGTGTAGGCGTTTAGATATGCGCATCATAGTTATGTTCTTAGGGATAATGCGACTAGGAAGTTAGTAGAATTAAATTGGAAGAGGTATAGTGGTATTGCGGGTGGTGGGGAGGAGGAGGTATGAAACCGTAGTTCCAAAGGAGCAAGACACTCGCGCTGATGCAGGCGTGTCGCCTGGTCACACAACATCTGAACAACTGTACAACATCGACCGCATTTTCAATACCGCCTGATGGACCCAGCCGCTTACGGCTGTGGAGGCACGTCACTCCCGAAGCCACACGGAGATAAATTATTCCCTGTCCCGATGCCGAGAAGAGACGGTGAGCTGCCGAACCTCGTGTCCTTCTGGCCCTCCCGGCAGAGACCTCAGCGAGAAGCTCCTCGGTATCGCCTTCTGCGCCAATAGTTGTTCTTCGTGTATCAGAGCACGGAGGTTCTGTGTCCTGCTCTCGTCACTTCTCGTGTGCTCTTGGTCCTGCAGCAACCTAGCGGCTTTGTCGCGCAGCGCTGCGCATAGTCAGGCACACTGCAGACCACACTTACTGGGTACGGGACGGATCGCGCGCTTCATATCAGACTGCTCGATGATCTGGCACCATACGGGAAAGTATGGGCTGCGAACATATGCATACGCTACGCCTTTGACGATGAAGGCGACTCTGAGGTGGCCACGTTCGCCTGCATACAACTAATCCACATAGGTGCGCTCGTGCCCAGCGTGCATTCGCCCAACACATACACCCACTGTCTAAGGCCATATATTGTCATCCTCCACTAATGTTTGGCGAAATGCGGGCGAGTAATTGCCAGCACATCAAAAGCCTCTAGGCCTTTACTGGGAGCAGCCTTATTTGGGCTCGCTGGAGTGTAAGCGGTTGACTCTGCCCGAAGAGTGCCGCTGTACTTCTTCTGCAGACCAGGGCACCTGGACCCAAGTCGTCCTTCAAGGCTTTCACGTTCCTCGCTCTGTTACGCTGATACTTCTTGTTTCTTTTTCTGCATATTGTCACGAGCCCATACGAGGCAAACCTCCAGTCGCTGCAAACATCTTTCTCTGATCTACGGCTCTCTTCGTTGGTCACGCTTTTCGCCTGACTTGGGCTCCATCCGCTCTACGCCATGCAACACGCATCGAATTCCCCGTGGCGGACGCCTGCGATGCAATACCCCAAACCCCAATACAGTCTACAGCATACCATATCCATGGTCAATCTCCGCGATGATGATCAGTCGTGGTACAAAGGCCGTGAGACTGAATCCCCTACTACCTCGTCGGTCTCGTCTGCCACCAGTCGAAGCACAACACCAACAACCACAAACAACAACCCATGGTCAAACGTGATGGTTAGCCCAGCTTCCACATATTCCAACAAGTCGACCGACTCCTCGTCCCCAAAAGGTAGCCCAAAACATACCCCGCCTTATACCAGCCGATCGACAACACCTATTGCTCCCCAGCCAATAAGGGTGATCAATCCGGTAGCAGGATTCGCGCCCATGTCTCCACCTCCTCAAACTCCTGGGGAGTCGTTCAGAAATGGTGACTACCCAGGCTCACCAATGAATCCATATCGACAACCTGTCGCTCCATTAGTACCATTGGTGAATGGATACATCAACACCTCTATTCTATCATCTCAGGGTCAGTCTCTTTCTGGATGGTTCTACGAGCTCGTACGAAAGCAGGGATGGGATGCTGGTCTCGTAAAGAAGATATGGCAGTGGACATTGTCTAACCCTAGGCTCGCAATTTTGTTGTTTGTCTGCGACGATGTTGCGTCATGGCGTCAAGCCTCTTTCTTTGATCTTCGAGATGAGAGCTTGCCGTTCCCGGAGGATCGTCTCCAAGGCATTGTGGGAAATGCACGCAAAGTCGTTGGGGAGCAGTGGCGCGCCACATCCAAGGAACTACCACTGACGGGCGCACATGTCGACTTCACTGCACGAGAAACAGTACCCCTACAGCATATCAGTCTTATTCGATCATCGCGCAATTCTGAAAAGAGCGTTGACTGGGTTCGGATGCAAGGTAACAGCGATGATCGCGTGCTAGTGCGAAAGCGCTTTGTTACTGCTCGTGCCTCTCAAAAGACTGCGCTCTTGGACCAGATAAACAAGTTCAAGCAACATGAGCATAAGAACATTGCAAAACTGCTTTGCTCATACTCTCAGCCAAGCCATGTTGGAATCGTGACGGAGAAAGCGCAATACACTCTGGACGACTACCTTGCGCTACCTGGGAGCGACCCGAACCGCTCCAAGTTGTTAGTGGACTGGATGTATGATCTGTCCTCTGCCCTTGAATATCTTCATTCGCAATCTATTTGCCACCGGAGCATTCGACCTCGCAAGATCCTAATAGACGGTGCTCGCATTATTCTCGCTCCTTTCGACATTGGACAGAGTATCGACACATTCAGTCCGACTATGGCGAACTCTCAACGCCTAGACCAGCTTCACATGTACTTCCAGGATCAGTCTTACGTCTATGCAGCGCCCGAAGCGATTGTCTCACGTGGTAAAAGAATGGCGGACGTGTTCTCGCTCGGCTGCGTGTTTCTATCGATGATGACGGTAGCACAAGGCCAGTCACTATCTGTGTTTGCGCAATATCGGGCAGCATCCACCCAGGATGCCTCATACCATGCACACCTCGACCGAGTCGCAAGCTGGCGAAACAGACTGCATGCAGCGACCACTTCGAACCTTAGAAACGGACTGGTCGGATCTGGCCGGAAGCTAAGACAGTTGAAGGCGGAATCCGAGTGGCTGACCATTATTGAGAAGATGCTCTTACCCGGACCAAAGGATAGAATAAAGATGAGATTTGTTCTGGCGAGTCTGGGTAGCGGTAAAGCTACTGGAGGAAGACGACGTAGCTTAGATGGTGGTGGTTGCAGTGGGCAAGCAGCAGCATCTCTCGGCGTAAATGGTGCATCAACTGCGACGTTGGTCGATATTTCGGAGCACCACGCGCCGCGCAAACCAGAACTAAGCGTCTTCGATGGGTACTTCCAAACCCAGACCCGCAGGTTAGAACCGGCAGGTGGCTGGTAAAGAAGATGTCGAACCTCGAACAGTATGTCAAACAAGAGCTTACGCCAAGGTGATACTTGGCGAAACATGTTAGACATCGACTTCCCAAGTTCTCGGTCAATCGGCACGTCGAAGCCGGATGGTTGGTATATGAAACTTGACAGCTCGGAGAGAGACGGAAACGAATCTCAACGAGGACGAGTCGGAAACGTATCCCATAACGATGGGCCAGGTACCCTTTTTTACCTTCTTCTTATCTTGTCCGTTCTGAATTTGGGTCGGACCTTTGATACCCCTTCTTGCGACCCCGCTCTTGGAAGACTTTCTTGTTCGTTGCTTCTTTCTTTGTGTTTTCACCTCGCTTGGTAACATGCTTGTCAGTGGATGTACCCAGCGTGCATTTTAGAAGAATGATTTTGAGCTGCGACCACATCAAGAGGAGGATGTTCCAAAGACTATAATGATGAGTTACATGTATAGCACCGTGCTAGTCCCTGATTCCATTGCACGCGTTTATATCCCAGATATCTTCAATGGAATAGTCTCATTAGCAATGACTTTGAGAGCGCGCCCAGTTACAGGGAACAACAACAGTTTCGCCAGCATAGTCTTGTTCTGAGAATGTTATGCTAGTGTACAAATATTGTTCCATGTTCAATTATCACCCAAACGCTATGATGCATCCTGAAGATTATAGCCATATTTTACAGGTATCTACCGAGAAAGCTCCAGATCGCGAACATCTTTCGAGGAAGACTATCACCAGCGATGCAGACGGGAGCTTGTTTCTCATATGGAGATGTTGGTATTATACTGCTCCCTTCACCGTCCCTCCTGCTTTCTTATCCTCTCATCGTGCCTCCTGCTCTCGTCTTTTCGTTCTTCCTCAAGTAATCGACGGAAAGGACTCAAATACGCAGCATTTGCGGTAGCATTTTTATCTCCTTCATCAGTCTCTTCATCCTTCTCCTCCTCTTCAGCAAGTTTCTTCTCCCACTGCTCTGTCTCTCTCTCTCTCTCTCTCTCTCTGACGATAGTGCCAAATTGTAAGGCCGTTCATACATGGGCCCCGCAAAAGAAAGAATCTGACTACTTTCCCAAGATTGAATCTAAGCTACAGTGTCACGCACATGGGTCAGTTCAGCTTGCACCTTGTTTGCAAAGAGTCGCACTGTCGTCAATATGAAATAGTGCATCAAGAAAGGCACGGATTGACAGGTACTGGGTATTGTGATGCAACATTTCGTCTTATATTGTACACATTGCGGATCATCGTGGTATCCTCATGTCACATATGATACATGCGCACTGCTGCTGGGTGCGCCGGCCTTGAACCCTCAACGTGGCATAACGTGGCGTAAATCTTCCCCTCCTCTCCGGCCTTCTTCCGACACAGTTCTTTTTCTCCCCTCCCTCGACTATTCTTAATTTGTACAAGCGAAGAGTATGCTGTGCGTCCATGCCATCCATGTCCAAAGTAGATGCTCTACAACTCCAAAGTGTGGTTAATGCCGTATATCTTACACAATAACCTCTCCGTGGTCGATGTGGTTCGGCCGCCACTTGCTCGTATCCAACTCGCCCTCCATGCTGCTTGGGACGGTGACTTCGACTGGCTTGTAGAGGTACCATGCCTTTAATGCTGCTGCCGCTGCCCGTGTCCGGGCCTCGTCTAATGAGCTGCCTGACCCCTCTCCTAGCTTATCCTTTCCACTGTATACGCCAACCACGAAGACGGGATGTCTGCTCAAACGACCGGTTTCTGAAATTAATCGGGCGACGGGTGCTTCGAAGCCTTCCCGCGCACATAACCGTGAAAGGTCGCGAGTGGGCATCCGGAAGTCGAAGATTGTGCTGATATCGAGATGTCGGCTGAGGAAGTGGTCACGGAAAAACCGCTTGACGAGCGGAGAGCCAATGTGTACGTGCATGGCACCGATGAGTGCTCGAACAAAGGATGAAGCGGCCTCTTCCAATGGCACTGGTGTGCTCTGTAGCGCGTGTGGGCTCGGTGCGGCATTGTTGGAGCCAAATTCGTCGGTTTTCATGATCTTGTGGGTGGTAGTGACATTCCACTTCCAGGGTGCCTGTCGTCTCAACTCGGGTGGCAGATCATCACCCGACGGTATTCTTTTGAATTGTAGTAGGCCGGGATCGACCTCACCACCCGGTTCGTCGGCGGCCTCAATGCCCCATTCGCTTGCAATTGTGGTGAGGGCTCTCGGGCCAATGTAGGCCTCTACTGCAGCGAAGACGACGTCTGTTGGCAGACGGGGATAGTTGCACAGAAGCCACTCGGAGGTGTAGTAGCCAAGCAGCTGGCGTCCGAGTATGGATAGTGAGGCATTATTGAAGGCGGGGTTGGGGTCGGCGGAGGGGTGTACGAGGGTTCGTGCGAGGGTTTGGAGGGGGAAGCGAGGCGGGAGGGACAGTCGACTTCGCAGGGCGTGTAGTTTGGTCGAACGCTCGGCGGCTTTGGGATGTGGGGAGGGCAGGCTCTCAAGCTGCCGTGACTGCTTTCTTGACTTGTGTGTCGATGGTGTGCCAGCGTTTGCTGCAATCTCGAGTTCCAACGCCCCGTCGTCTGGGACTGCTGCTGTGCTCTGGAGCCTAGCCTGTATCCGGTGGCTATGAGGTATGACGCTTCTCCGTACATTCTTCGCCGCAGTATATGGACACGAGGGCCGGCGTGGCGAGGGCGCACCCAGCAGTTGCGAGGCGCATCTTTGTATGGGTATCCGCTTCATTAAGGCAAAATCCGAGAGAGGAGGGCAGAAGAATCAGGACGGCGGAGTCGGCAGCAGCAGCAATTGGCCCGGTCGTGTGTTCACACAGGTCATGATCGCGACTGCCAAAGAATTTCCGCCAAGCTCGGGGCCCGTGCTAGCCCTACCATGCGACTGCGACCTCACGGCAGCTCCGCAGACAGCATACCCCACGAACCCGCACAACCACTTTCACCATGGGCGGAGGAGGAAAGATCCCGTACGAGCCGACTGCCAATTGCGTGCCAGTGCAGAATTGACGCCCAGCAGATACCCCAAGCACGTCTGGTCGCCGGCTGGTGGTTGGTACGCCCAGCCAGCCAACTGGAAAGCCAACACGGCCGTCGTAGGCCTCGCCCTCGGCAGCATCGTCGGCATGGCCTGGATGCTCAGCGCAAACCGCGAATACCGCGACAAGATGCCCGAACGCCACCGGTTCTTCCCCAGCCGATAGTACGACCTGCACTTGCACCCTTAGCCTACGCATGCATGCTAACCATGGCACAGCTGGAGCAAACAGATCAGGGAGCATGAGCGGAAACAAGACCAGAACATCATCGAGAGGACAATTGAGGGTTAGATTGGAGATGAAGCGGGGGTATAGGAAGCAGCCAACGCGACTAAGGCTGTACATAACTAGCCAGCCGCTGCTTGAAATCTGAAAGCCTGTCTTGGACACCAACACCGTTCCACGTTTCCCCGTCCCCTGACTGTGAGAGAACGGGCATGCCTATCTGCTCAATGGCAAAGCTCGCCGAGATGGTCCCCCAGATCGCGGCTTCCTCGAGATTGTCTGGTGCGCACAAGGAGCCACCGCGGAGTAGGCCAACCGCCAGACCTCCCAGAAAACTGTTGCCTCCTCCGGTCGGATCGGCTACTTTCTCTGCTGACTGATGGTATGCAGGCATCCATTTACGCAGTCCTCTGCGCATTACCAGGCAGCCATCTTTCCCACAACGTACGACAACCCCGCCATTGCCGTCACCAACTCCACTGTCCAGCCACTGACTACACAGCTTCTCAATTGTTCGGAAGTCCACAAACTCCTTTCCGTCCGTGTTCCTGCCGAAGAAGCCGCCAAGCTCTCCGTGGTTCGGACTGACCACATCAACATACTTGAGCGCCTTTAGGCAATTCTCGTACTCTGCGGGTGTGCATAAATCAGGAACAGGCTCCCAGATAAACACGGGGCGTCGAACATCAGTCGAACTGGAACCCTGTTTGCGTAGTGCAATGATGTTCTCGATCAGATCGATGCAGCGTAACGGCGAACAGATCAGATGAAATGACTTGGACCATAGTAGATCGGTACCAATCAGACTTTCGTGGTCTACGCGCAGCTTCGGCGTCAAGTATCGAAATGCTTCATGAGATTAATAAGACTTTGAATTATTCATAGGCGACACATGGACATTTACCTCGATGCTCATTTTCGCCAGTGTAACCATTCCAGCCTCGCGTAGTCAACCGTTCAGGCGTTTTGCGTACTAGCACACCAGTTCTCCATTGCGCGATAAAGTCGCGCAACTCAGGCGGAAAATCAGATCCGCAATCTACAATCCAGCCCACGGATTCCGACTGTGGTGGAGGGGAGAAGATACGCGCGCCCAAGGCCGAGTACGACCCTGCTCCTCCGACGATGTCCTTGACTGTAGGCTTTGGCGGGGGAAATTCGATCTCATCTTGGTGGTTTCAGCGGCTTGAACGCGTTGAAAATTATTACATGCCTACCTATGATGAACATTCCCAGAGTGCAGAAATCAATCTTGTCATGGTTTTCAGCATGTTGATTAGCCATGTTGGATGCTTGCACACTGCCGTGTGTAGATCGCAAGGTTGATAGCATGCCGCTGACGTGCATGTCTCGAACGGACCAGGCTTGGCTGCAGACGGCTAGCGCCATGTGGGCAGCCGTGGCCATGCGTCTGGAAAGCTGACCCTTTGAAGTTCTGCCTGCCATTGTGCTTTTGAAACCAAAAGATATCCTGCTGTGTTCATAATCTAGACAGGGCGAATTCCCGTTGTCTGCTTGTAGCCTCCCCTCTCCACAGTACGAATCAGAGGCGCCGAACAAGCTGCAGCGTGCCGTGGCTGCCCCTTCCCCGAGCATTCAAGATACCTGTCCGCATACAGGTGCCTTCCCTACAAACGCTGAGACGCGCCTTCTCCACATGGCGAACAACATGAATAACCTCACGACGCTGATCAAGCGGTAAGTGTCTTTCCTTTGTAATCACGACCTACCAGCACCCAAACCTACCGCCCTATAACACTCTGCGCATCCCGCTACTCTGCAAGAGCGCCCCACGATGGCCCCCGAGCCCGAACAAGCACACATCCTCGGTCGACATGGCCAGATTCGCGTCACAACGGATAATGTACTAACGTCTATGGTCCGTAGACTCGAAGCTGCTACCTCGCGCCTTGAAGACATCGCTAGCACCGCTCTGCCCAACAACGGAGATGGAGCCGCAAGCCTCAATGGAGCCTCCGCTGATGCTACTCCAGGCGTCACAGCGGCAAACACGAGCGCCAACACCCCAAAACTCGTCGCGGAAAGCGCACCGCCCGCAATTGAAGCTTTCGATGAGCTGGTCAACTCAGACTTGAAGAACTGGCTAGACCTGAGCGGAAAGCTGGGAAGCGTCATCGAAGGCCAGTCAAAAGCAGTCGAGGGAGCCTTCGCCGCCCAGCGCCAATTCCTCTTCATTGCGAACAAGGCTAAGAAGCCTGACGACCGCACCCTGATGGAGCTTCTCAAGGATCTCCAGGCGAGCATGGAGAAGACAGACGAATTCCGACAGAGCAACCGAGACCCCGCGCTCAAAGACTCCGTCTCCATGGTTGCTGATGGTGTTGGCTCCCTTGGATGGGTTACAATTGGCCAGGGCGGAGGTATGAAGCCTCACGAGCACATCAACGAGCTGTTTGGTGGAGCTCAGATGTACGGCAACAAGGTCCTTAAGGAGTACCGCGACAAGTATGGTTATCCACCCCCCTACTTGAGGCAGTGCTGACAGATTCAGGCCCGACGGTGACGCCCATGTCAAGTGGGTTCAGGCTTACTACAAACTGTTCAAAGCTCTCGCCGAGTACGCAAAGAAACACCACGCTACAGGCGTAGCCTGGAACAGCAACGGAATCGACGCCAAAGACGCCGCAAAGGAGATCTCCTCTGCACCCCTCTCAGGCGCGTCGAGCGTTCCTCCTCCACCAGCTCCTCCAGCAGGAGGTGTCCCACCACCACCCGGTCCCCCACCACCGCCAGGCCCTCCGCCGCCACCAGGTGCCGCGCCCGTTGCTAAGAAGGCCGCGCCCGATATGAATGCCGTCTTTGGCGATCTCAACAAGGGCTCAGACGTCACAAAGGGGCTCAAGAAGGTCGACCCAAGCCAAATGACACATAAGAACCCGTCGTTGCGAGCGAATGCCACAGTCCCCACGCGAAGCGATAGCACCGGCAGCCTAAGGAGTAAGAGTCCTGCGCCGCCCAAGGCTAAGAAGCCAGAGAGTATGCGGACGAAGAAGCCACCGAAGAAGGAACTGGACGGAAACAAATGGATAATAGTATGTGTAGCTCAGATGATATGTAGTAAGACTTGTCGCTAACTCGTGCCCAGGACAACTTCGACTCACCATCCGAGACAATCGAGATCGACGCCGAAATCAACCACTCCATCCTCATCTCCCGCTGCAAGAACACAACCATTCGCATCAATGGCAAGGCAAATGCGCTTTCGCTCGATAACTCCTCCCGCACATCGCTCATCATCGACTCGCTGGTGAGCTCCGTGGACGTGATCAAGTGTCCCAACTTTGCGCTACAAGTTCTCGGCACTCTCCCCACCATCCTGCTCGACCAAGTTGACGGCGCTACCGTATACCTCTCCAAGGATTCGCTAGCAACTGAAGTTTTCACAAGCAAGTGCAGTAGCATAAACATCAATCTGCCCACCGAAGACGACTACGCCGAGAACCCGTTGCCTGAGCAGATCAGGAGCTATATCAAGGACGGCAAGCTTGTTAGCGAGATTGTAGAACATGCTGGTTAGACGGTGTTTTCCGGCGTGCGTTCTTGAAGAGGAACCTTGAATAGTCACCACATTGTCTGCAGTCGGTTGCAGCTTGAACATGTTGAATTGCATAGCTAGCACGACCGATGTCGACGAGATAGGCAGTCTTGTGTCTGTAGGATAGATCTGTATAGACCATCTTTGCTATACGCGGAAATCAACCTTCCTCATGACGCTTTTGGTGACTGGTACCCTTCGTTTGGTGCTGCTCAGTGAGATCCTTGAGTTCTTGTCATGCTTAGGTAGCGTGAATTCCGTACCCGTGCCAGTTATTTACCGACGATCATGGCCTTACTTTCTGGCTGCGGCGCACCCTCGGCATCTACTGCGACGATGTGCCATTGGAACGAACCGAGCACGGGTTGTATCAAGTCCCATGACACAACCTTAGAAAGTACGAATCTGGCGCGCAATCGATATCATAGACAAACAGGAAATAGATCCTGCTGCCTTCAAGGTGAGAGACGCAAGTGGGGCCACGGCGACACAAACACCAGCCTGCCCGCTCTCGGCTTCAGGTAAAGGTGTCAGTAGCAGGCAGTGGCATATATTGACCTCGCTATCTAATAACCTCCCGGCTTCCTACCTCAACATCTACCAACCCGTCAAAACCCAACAATATCACAACAGAATGACCAACATACCCATGATGTGCCTCGCAGAGATAGTCTGTGAGATCCCTCCGTCGTCGCTCTACTCTGAGCTGCCAATACAAGAACGACTAGGTAAGATCCACCCAAGAGGATGTGAATCTTGCCAGTGCTAACCTCATATCTACCACAGTCACCGTGGGCATGAACACCAGTGGCCTGTCGGTCAATGGACCGGCAGTTGTGCCTAACTCAACACAGGCCACGAAGATTAGCAGGGTTCTCGCCGCCTATCACGGTGTAGTACCTCAGAGCAAGCATACGGTTGTTGTCGGGATGCACGCAGACCGGAATGATCAAAATAAGGCTGCCGCGGTGTTCCGCACGGCAAGAGAGACGGTTCAAACTGAGAAGTACGGTCCGAATTCCTTCATTCAACAGTTCATCCCCGGCAAGGTGAGCAGCGAGAACTTCCTCGTTCAACAAACCAACTTCAGTATCGAAGCAAAGGCGAGGGAGCTTCAACCACCAAACGAGACACAGGCTCAGACCGATACCCGCACGGCGGAGCGCCAGGCCTTCCTCGATGCAATGGCATCGGGGGAAAGGCTCTGGGTGAACACATACGAGTTGGAATACCGAAAAACTGTCGACGCGCTCCCGGCCGCCAGGGGTCTTGAGAGGAAACGCCTAACCCGAAAGGCTGAACTCTATCATAGGATGAAAGATAACCCTCCACGATGCGCAGTCGACCTGAACACACTACACTCACGGCAGCAGTGTGACCAGGCCAAGATGATCCCGCTCGGCCTGCGAAATTGGGAACTTATCCTGGACTTCTGGCAAGCGACCATCACCGACGACATACTCACATCACATCTTGAGAAAGCTTCTAACGTGGTTGACATCCGGTAAGTACTCTACTTTGTGACCCATGCATGCGAACTTCTTCCACATCACTAACTGCTGACAGAAGAATGCTTGAGAGAAACAACGTACCAGATTTCAAAGACATGCAAGGCAATCTCTGGATCAACGCTTGTGCGTTGATCGACCTGCATATCGTTGGACCTAACCAGTCCAAGAGGCGGGAAATGCTACTTGACGACTGATCGCGCCGCATGGCGGCCTATGATCTCGGATCCTAGTCAGACAAGAAGTCCACCTATCTGACCAGGATCCGCGCACTGCACATCGACTTGAAGTTCCACGAGGATCCAGAATTTGGTACTTGGACAGAAACTCCAGTGCTTATTCCGGGATCGAAGGGCCGCAAGCGCCCGATGGAAGAACAGGGCCTGGGCAGCATTTGAGGTCGGAAGAGATGGCGTTCTTCTGGGTATATAGCGCTAATCCAAATGTGGGTTAGCACTCATGGGAGTCAGAACGCTGGGAGCAGAAGCTTTTGGACGACTGTACAGTCATGAATCAAAGACATGCAGTGAAAGAACTCGAGCTATGCGATCAACTGGAGTACCCTCTAGTATCTAGGACTATACCGTCCCGGTCGTCGAATCGATTCGTACCCTCAACTTTCCACTACATTTTCCACAATGTCATAGTGCAACGAGCCAGATACAATCGATGCACTGGTACAAAATAATTAAGTTCTTAAAGCCATCGAATGCCTCCATGAACATCCAAGCTTAGGGAAAGTACATCACTCACACTATTAATACAAACAGGCAGAGGTTTGGTCTTGATCATTGATCAGTTTTTCGTCATCTATATCTACATTACAGGTCCTCCGCATCAACAAAGGAATACGTCAACGAAAGCCAAAACATGTACCAAGGGAATCATCCAGTCCATCCGCTGCACAAACTCTTCTTTCTCCAACACTGTTCATGATCCTGCCAGAGCTTGCTGACGTTTAGTTGTCGCCAGTGTGAAGGTCGGCCCAGTGGGCATCGTCTTCGGCTTGGGTCAACTCCTGGGGGTTACGGCCGGATAGCTTGCCACGTCCACCAGCACCTGCAGCGTTGCCTCCCTTGCCCTTGTGGTGTGCCTCTGGGTCACGTCCGAACAGTTTGGCGAGTCCGCCGGCACCGCCAGCACCAGCAGCATTTCCGCCCTTGCCCTTGTGGTGTGCTTCAGGGTCGCGTCCGAACAGTTTAGCGAGGCCTCCAGCTCCTCCGGCACCGGCAGCATTGCCTCCCTTGCCCTTGTGGTGTGCCTCAGGCTCACGTCCGAACAATTTGGCGAGGCCGCCGGCACCGCCAGCGCCAGCAGCGTTTCCGCCTTTGCCCTTGTGGTGTGCTTCAGG